AATTATGCAAAACTTTTAACTTTGTGGTTGCAGCTTTGTAAGTATATTTTTCACAATGATTAATAATCAGGCATATAATACAAAGATATAATTATGTGAATGTTTTGCCTTAAAAATGAGTATTAAACTGATAAAAGCAATTTGCATTAATTATGCCTACTAGCATCTTAAAAGGTCATTTTAAAAACAATTTTAGAAAATTAAAAAAAGTCGGAGATTTATTAAAATTTTAAAACTCTTGTCAATAAATAACAATGTATTATTTTATGTACTTTTAGTTTTTAAAGTGTGTAACTACTTACATAAAAAATATTTCACTAAGGTCAATTCAAAGGTATATTCTTGATGTTTATTTGTTTTCAACATCCTGAAATGTATAATGTACAAAATAATATTTAATATCATCAAATTGTTCAAATATCTAAACTTTTAATGCTTACTGTGATAAAAAGCTTAAATTTGTTATGAACAACCCATTTCAATCATTGTTGTAGTCAAGCATCCTGTACAAAAGTTTGTGAAAGTGCATTAAACAGTAAATTGAAATGATGAGTTCCTATTCAAAAAACTAAGAAAGATAAAAAAAATCAAATGACACTATACCCTATACTCGTACGTAATGGTATTATAATTATTTAGTAGTTATTATGTAAGTCACAATCATACAGTACCCATTTTAACGGTATCAAATCTCTGCCGTCTTATCGGATTTACATCATAAATTGGTAATGCGAACTAACACCTTGTTCTACAATAGTATATTAATTTAATATGATCACTGAACGGAAAATGATGGAAGCGCAGCGGCTCCCTCCATAGTCGCCCACAATTCGATTGCATAACAGTTTCACAAGTAGTTTGTGTTCAATTTGTATTTTAATTGGTCAACATTTATCCCTTAATAATGTTAATATGTTATTGATATTATGTAGGTACATAGTACCAACGCCCGTGATACGTCAATTTATTTTTAATAGGATTGTTATTTGTTTACGTTGTAAAATACAAAATTGAAAATACAAAATATGAATTCACATTTTGTATTTTTAAGATAAAAAATTATAAGCGATGAGAAAACATTTTGTTGAGTGATAAGTGATAACGTTTATTATGTGGTAACCACGGTCCAGTTTATTAAACCGGAACGTCGAAAGTGATAACACTATCGTCGTATCACTGTTTCACAACAAGGAGCAATTGAATAGCAAAAATAATTTACTACATACTTACGACAAACGACGAGTTTCTTACCAGCTCGTAAGGTACGTACGTTTTAATTTAATCTACTTTGTTTGACTTGTCTATAATTGTTTTATTTTCTTTATTGTTTTCATTTTGTAGTTATCGATAGAAATGAACGGCTCAGTTTTGGTGAGGTCAAATCTGGTGGCTAAAGGTCATGGCGGAGCTATAGGGCTACAGAGTTTGGCGTTTAAAAATGCGTTGCAGACACGTCGCAACACTACTGCAGCAACTCCTCCACCAGAATTAAAGGCGTCATATGGTAATCTTTCAGATTCCGACAGGATTTTCACGAATCTATATGGACGCCATGATTGGCAATTGAAGGGTGCGTTAAAACGCGGTGATTGGTACAAGACGAAAGAAATTTTGATAAAAGGTACAGATTACATTATTAATGAAGTTAAGACTTCCGGTTTGAGGGGACGTGGTGGTGCCGGTTTCCCAACTGGTATGAAATGGAGTTTTATGAATAAACCTTCTGATGGCCGCCCAAAGTATTTGGTTGTTAATGCTGATGAAGGAGAACCTGGCACTTGCAAAGATCGTGAAATTATGAGGCACGATCCACATAAATTGATTGAAGGATGTTTGGTTGCTGGCAGAGCAATGGGAGCTTGTGCTGCTTATATTTACATCCGTGGAGAGTTTTACAATGAAGCTTCGAATTTGCAACAAGCTATTTGTGAAGCATATCAAGCTGGTCTTATAGGAAAAAATGCGTGCAACTCTGGCTATGACTTTGATGTATTTGTGCACAGAGGAGCTGGTGCTTATATTTGTGGAGAAGAAACAGCACTTATTGAGTCACTTGAAGGCAAACAAGGTAAACCAAGATTGAAGCCTCCTTTCCCAGCTGATGTCGGAGTTTTTGGTTGTCCCACTACAGTATCTAATGTTGAAACAGTAGCTGTTGCACCTACCATTTGCCGCCGTGGTGGTGCATGGTTTTTGGGTCTTGGAAGACCTAGAAATTCTGGAACTAAGCTCTTCAATATATCTGGTCATGTAAACAACCCATGTACTGTTGAAGAAGAAATGTCAATTCCTTTAAAAGAATTGATTGAACGACACGCTGGTGGTATAATTGGTGGTTGGGATAATTTGTTGGCTGTAATTCCTGGTGGTTCATCAACACCACTTATACCAAAAAATGTTTGTGAAACTGCAATTATGGACTTTGATGGGTTGGTAGCAGCTCAAACTAGTTTAGGAACAGCAGCTGTGATTGTAATGAACAAGCAAACTGATATTGTAAAAGCTATTGCGCGTTTGATTATGTTCTATAAACATGAATCATGTGGACAATGTACACCTTGTCGTGAGGGCATCAATTGGATGAACAAAATTATGTATAGGTTTGTTGACGGGCAAGCTCAGTCTTCAGAAATTGACATGTTATGGGAGATTAGTAAGCAAATTGAAGGGCATACAATTTGTGCTCTTGGAGATGGTGCCGCGTGGCCTGTACAAGGGCTGATCAGACATTTTAGACCTGAACTTGAATATAGAATGAAGAAGTACCAAGAGCAGAATGAAAAACAAGCCTTATCTAATTAATAGTTTTTTCATTAGTATTTACAAAACACCGGTCTATAAATATTGTCCAATTGTAATTTTATCAAATTTGTTTTAACAAGTTTACTAGTTACTTATAAATATATAAATAATAAAATTGAAAAAAAATAATGTATTATTAATATTTATACCTATAATAATTTGTTGTCTATATTCAAATAGTTTTTTTTTTTTTTTTTTTTTATCAAAAGAAATAGAATTTAAATAAAATAAATAGTGTACCATAAATTTATACTGCGTTTAATAATATCATAACTTATATAAAACCGAATGATAGATAAAACTCCAATGTATACTTCAATATATAATTATATCCAATTAGCATTAATATACAGTTTTCATTTCAACTAAATGTATTCATTAAACTCATTTGAAAATTTGGATTTGAAAATTTTTTTTAATTTGGATTATTTATCCCTAAGTATTCATAAACGTTTAAATGCTTTATTATACTAATATTAAATTATTACTACAATAATAGTTAAGTAAAATGAACAATAATTAGTGAGTAGTATTGGTAGACTACCAAATATTAATTTCTTCTATTTTATTTACATAGCAAGCATATTTTTTATATTCGTATATTCGTAAAGGTGGGTTTATTTTTGTGAATTGCATATATGTTCATAAAATTCTTCTGTATCCCACCAAGTATTTATGCATTTTACCTAAATATGGAGACTAGTTTCATACTGATAGAAGCTATTAGTATACATAATGCATTATTGCCATAAAATAAACATTAATTGTGTTGTAGAAAGTTTTATGGTTTATGGTAAAATTTAATAATAATCGTTAATTATGTTTAAATGTATCAATCTAGATTATTATTAAATAATGTCTATAATATTTGTTAATGTTATTAATTTTTTCAATGTACAAACTTACGTTTGTAGAGTGAAATAAGAAAAGTTAATTTTAATTATAAATGTGAAGAAAAGAAAGGATAGGTTTAAATTTTATGTAAAATTGATCTTTTTCATGGTCTAGTTAATTTTTTACATGATGAGTGGTAGGGCGTAATGTATAGGCAATATTAGTATATTAAACTACAGAAATTTAAATCTTTTCACTGGACTAAGTTAAATAAAACGTACAATCTACGTTGAAATGAGTTAACACGTAATTTAAATTTTTTGTAACTTACAAGTTAAATAGAAAAAAGTTAATTTAACTTGGCTAAAAATTAATCAAATTTTTTTCAAACCAAATATTTACATAAAATAAAATAAGAAAATTTGAGAAATATATAATATATACATAGTAAAATTAATATATATGTAAGAATAATTGACAAAGAAAAAAAAAATGAAAAGGAAAACTATTTAATGATGAACCTTATTCATTGGAGATATACGAGTGTAATATTTAGGTTGATTTTCTGTTAGTTAATTGTTTAAAATATTATCATGAATTCACGGCATTGGGGTATTTTAAACTGAGTACCTATAATGGGAGATGGTATTTTGCGCCATTTTAATTACCTGTAATTTGCGCCATCAAAAGGTACATTTAAGGACGTATGTAATTTGCGCCAAAATATAAAAACATAACATGTATTTTGCGCCACATATACAAATTAATTTTGGTAATTTGCGCCACGACAGAAAACGAAAAGGAATATGTAATTTGCGCCACACTTTTAACTTCAGTATTGCTGGAATTTACCAGATAAATTTACTGAAATAATCACATAGGATATACAATAGTCAATAATACGTATCGACGTGTATCCAATATAATATTGTTGTGTTCTACTGATAATAGACATATCATCTCTATTAGATTACGTCTAATCTAACGAAAATTTTCAATCTATTGTTACATATTGTTAATATTGAACAGCAATGTCGCGAATCGTGATATTTACAATTAGTCCGATATAAATCGCGTGTGCGTTCATGTTATTTATTTTATTTTAAAATTTTATAAAAATATAAGTAATGGAAAATAGTACAAATATTGGTGAAATTATTAAAAGCACCAGAGGTAAAGATTTATTATTATTTTCAAATTTTACGTATCGCAAAGTGCATGAATCGAAAAATGCTTCAGTACGATGGCGTTGTACTGTCAGAACTTGCACTGCAAAAGTGTATACTTCTATAGAAAATATTGTAGAAATAGTTGAAATTGTAAATGAACATAACGGGCATGATCAACCAAGTATAGACAGAAAAATGTTTTCAAACGGATGTAAGAGAAAAGCTGTGGAAAATCTGTATACTAAACCAAGTAAGATATTACGAACTGAAATTTCTGAAAATATATCTAATTTACAAACTATCACTACTGATGATATATCACTAGTTCGACGTAATATTTATAACGCCCGTAGAAAAATGGTGCCACCATTACCTAAAACAATGGAAGAATTGCAAAATAGTATAAGCAATTTAAATTTGAAAACGGACCTCAATGAGCAATTTTTATTAATAAATGATCCGAACTGTCATATAATAATATTTTCATGTGACACAAATTTAAAAGTTCTATGCGAATCTGAGATTATATATATGGATGGAACTTTTGAATATTGTCCCAAGTTATTTACGCAATTGTTTTCTTTGCATGGTTTATGCAATGATCATTATATACCACTATTATTTGCATTACTTCCAGACAAAAAAACTTCAACTTACGTAAATTTATTTAAAAATATCATACATTTGTGTAATGCACGTGAACTTTCTCTAAAACCAAATTTATTTATATCTGATTTTGAAGAAGCAATTCATGTAGCATTGAGACAAGTCTGGGATGACACTAAAATATTTGGTTGTAGATTTCACCTAACTCAGTCGTGGTATAGAAAAATTCAGGAATTAGGATTATCCAACGTATATCAAAACAATAAAACAGAAGAAAGCAAGTGGCTAAACCATACATTTGGGTTGCCATTTATTTCTCCAAATGAAGTCAGTAACTGTTTTATTGAAGATTTTATGTCATCGATTCCTAATGACATAAGATTTCAAAAATATGCCGATTATTTAGTTGACACATATATCTGTGAAGAGGCTAAATTTCCACCAATAATTTGGGCTGCGAATATCGCGTCACTATCTCTCACTACTAATGCTTGCGAATCATATCATTCACGTTTCAATTCCGAGTTCTATCACCCACATCCTACTATTTACCACTTTTTGGATGTACTGAAAGGATTTCAAACCGAAACATTGATTAAAATTAAAAGTATACATCTTAAAAAACGAAATTCTACTAAAAATAAAATTCGTTTGGAAACTTTTCAACAAATATATGAAGACTACAGACAAAATAAAATTGACAGAAAAGGCTTAGTTTCGTCATTAAGCTATAAATATAAAAAAAAACGTGAGTAAGCTAAGTATTATAAGTAGCTAGGTATTTTATTTCAAAAATTATATGTTATACTACGAAAATTGTACATACTTAAGAAACTTTAAATTTATACATTTATTTACAATTATTTTTTTTTTTTATTTATTAAAATTAAAATGTTTCAGCATATTATCATTTTTTATATACCTATCAGATTTTTATAAGTTTTATTACTAAACGAAAATTTTACATACTAAACGAAACTTTATATTTATTCATTTATTTACAATTATTTTTTTTTTTTTATTTATTAAAATTAAAATGTTTCAGCATATTATCATTTTTTATATATCAGATTTTTATATGTTTTATTACTAAACGAAAATTTACTTATTTAATATACATGGAGTTCGTTTTGTGAATTTTGTGAACTGTGGCGCAAATTACAATTTTTGTAGGTAAACGATGGCGCAGATTACATATTGCCTTTTTACTTAGTTTTATTTGGCGCAAATTACAAACTAAAAAAGTGGCGCAAATTACCAAAATACAATTTTAGATGTGGCGCAAATTACATATATTTTTTTTTTTTTGGGTTGTTTTTGGCGCAAATTACATACGCCCCCTATAATATGGTAATGTTATTGTTCAGATATTTCAAATTAATATGTTTTGGAGAGATTGTAATTATCTGTGGAAACGTATCTATATATAATTTTATTTGTAAAAGTTATTTTGATCCTTATTGAAATTCAGAAATAGTGCACAGCAACACGCTGACGGTCTATAGATTATAGTTTAGTATTTACAATCTACACCCAATATTTAGGATAATATATATATCTGATTTTTATTTTTATTATATTCTATAAAAACAATAATTTATACAGAAAAAATATATTTTAAACCGACGAGGTTAAAATAAGAATACAAAACAAGTTTAACATGATTAGATATACAATTAATTAACTGATTACTGACAACAAACCATGGAAATAATTTAAATAATTTAAGTTATAAGTTCCTTTAAAACAAAAATTACTTGTTATATAACTTAGTAAAAAGTTACTTAACTTTAAATTTCTAACTAGTTAACGCCCAGCCTTGTATAATTTATTTTATGTTTTTACATTTTTATAGGTACCTTAGTTTGTGTTGTGTGAATTTCAGATTTTAAAGTTAGGTATGAAGAATAAATTAAATATCTAAGAGTTAACACGTATGTGTATAACTTTCATTGACTTAAATAGATCAGGTTATTGGGTGTATTTTTGAGAATAATAAAGGTTTAAAGATACATCAAAATCCACTTATCATTAAAACAAACCAATCAGATAGGCACAAAAAATAGATTTAAAAATTATTAGTTTCAATGAACAAAAATTGAATTTATTAAAAAATAATTATTATTATCCAATAATTTTAATTAGTTATATATTGAACTTTAAATGTTTGTGGTAAGTAAAGAAACGGAAAAAAATGGCGTTGATTGTATTAAAAAATGTAACCACTTAGTCAATTTTTAAAATCAAAGCTACATTATAGTCTATATTTTTTAGTTTAATATTCATCTATGATGAACATTAATAATAGTTACAAATGCCAATACACTTATTTTATCGCATTTTTATTGATACCATACTGTTGCATTCATAATTTACGGTATAATTATTATTGGTGTCATTAATTTCTGAATAAGTATTTTTATTTTATAATTATTTGGTTGTAGAATTATATTAAATAATATAATTTTTATAATTTGCAATTTTCCTGAGAAAAAAAATCGTTTTATCGTTGATCCAAATTCTAGATTGCTGTACATTGTACAATAATAAAACAAACGAATTGATTAAACTATATACGATTTAAAGTTTAAATGAGATCAATTTGGTTAGATGCCGTGGACATCCACATTCAAAAAAAAAAAAAATCGTAACTGATTTTATCCAAGACGGGTAGGACGATAATACCTAAATAAATTTAATCCACTCTGTATTTACTATACGCCTGTACCACGTGGGACTACATTACTTTTAAATATTATTTGACCACTGTGATTTATAAACTGTGTATTTGTTTATGGAGACGAAGATAAATATTTATTTTTATTGTAGCATTTTATTTTATGAATAATTATAAAACCATACCACATTCTTTGTTAATTAAATTTCATTTAGTCGATTAATTTAATGTGTAATTGATCAATTTAAAATAATTTTAAATAATAATTTAATTGTGTTATCATAGAAAATAATAAAAAATACAAATTCCACAACAATTTATTAACGTTTTACAAACTACTGTAGAAATAAAGTAATACGATACCTATTCAAGATTATAGTTAGTTTAAATTTTTAAAACGAATTGAGTAAATTACAAGGAGTATATTTGTAGATTACAGAGTAAGGGAGAGGGGAGAAACGAAATTTGAAGAGTTGTTAAAAAAGTATATAAACGAGTATATTAAAGTGGCTTTTATTTTTCAATATTGAATTTTTTAAATATTTTCTTTTGAATTGGTTCAATTTGTATACAACATAACTTGTCGATTGAACAACTGGTTAAGTTTAACTCGTACTTATAATCCTTAAAGTCAAATCACCCGTTTTTGCTCGAATAACAATCGTTTTTTTTTTTTTTTTTTATATATTTGATTGTCATTGTTTTTTTTTTTATAAAAATACTTATCTGGAATTATTTATTGTTAGACCTGTTTCACACAGACGTGTCATTACAAAAATATACAGTGGAGCAATGTGAACCATATAGTTTTTACATAGTAGATAAAAATTGATTTTTCAGTATAAAATTTTGTGTATATAGCCTACAAAGCGTATTAAATCGGGGTCCTGGCCTTACTCTTTCAAGATATATCCAAGTTGGAGGGTTGTAGAACTTTTATCATGACTTAAAAAAAGAAAAAACCATTAAGAAAATATGTATTTTAATTAAACATTGGCTTAGAAACTTAAGTTTATAGAATACAATGTTATTTCTTTGATAAATTAATAAGTTCTAGTATCAACATTTTTAGTATCACTATTTAATAATTCAATTTTTGCATTTATTTAACAACCGAGTTTCACGCTATGCCACTGTGTAGTGAATTTTATTATTTGGTTCTTTAGGAAAAAAAAGCATTATTGATTCTCTTATATAAATTTATAAATTTATAAGACATTTAGGCAGTAGTGCAGTACTAATAAAAAACCACTTATACATTTGGAATATCAACTATTGCCTTAATTAAATTAATATTTATCTATTTATTTAATATAAATACTTATAATAATATTTACAAATTTATAGTTGTACACATTATCCGAATTCACTAATAAAGTTAAAATTATTATAATCATTATACCAGTAAATCGTTATATTTTTAAAAGTATTTCACATTTTTCATAATTACTTTGAAATAAAGAATATACATAAAACAGTTGTTATAACAAGTTAACAGTCTTATTAAAAATTCAGGGATAAATATTTTAGTATCTATAACTAGTGTTAAAAATTATTAAAAATATTTATAAATTTCAATTAAGTCTTCCCTTCTCCTTTTGTAAAATTGTTCTGAATTTAAGTTTAAATTTAGCATATTATTAAAGATAAATCTAGTACAAATTTTTAAGTATTAATAATTGTGCCACGTATAGATGACGCACTACTTTGAAAATATTTCAGTTGACCTAACGACGTTTCTATTTGTTACGGTTCTATGCAGATTAGATATTATATTTAATAACATAGTTATTATAGTAATTAATTAATTATTTTACTAAAATAAATGCCAAACAGTGAATACTTTATTCGTTAGTCGTTGATTTGTAACCATTGCTTGTGTTCTATCATCAATAACTATTATTGTCAATTCTTTGGACAGCCGACAAAACATCATTTTTCATCTGCCACACTAACAAGATTCAAAATGAAAACATTCTCGGTATGTCGTATATTATTGATTCATTAGTTCTAAAAAATAACTATTTGTTTTTGTTTCCGAAAAATAGGTGGTGGTTTTAACAGCATTAGTCCTTATATTCTTCATCGGAACGGAATCAAGAACAGTTTCTGCAGACTTTGATGATCCGGATAATTTTAAGTACGTTGTTCAACATATTGTTGGTAATAATAATAATAATAATAATAATAATAATAATAATAAATTACTTAATCATATAATATTATACAGAATTATACCTTTTACATTTGTGATTTATTAATTTACGTATTAGATACCAAAGAAACATAACAGTCTTATAATTTATAAATAGCGCAACTTGATATGGAATATTGTATGAAAATACTTATTTATACATCAATATTAAAATATTGTATTATTTTCATTTTATCCTTTCATAAAATATTAGGTTTTAGGTAGTTTTTTAATCACATTATGTCGATTGTTTAAAAAAAAATAGTAATTGATTTTTTTTTTAAAACAATTAGGCGATACTGTTAATTTTAGTGTTATATTATATAAACGTTACTTGAAGTATTTTAAATATTTTGAGATTTTTTTTTTTTAAGTTGAAACAGAGGGTTATATTAATAAAATAGTAAAATAAATATGTTCCGAGTAAATTTTTGTATTGTGGTACTGGAAAACATTAAATATTTCATTGAGCTCACGTTAGATTTTATCAAGAAATAACTCGTTAAAAGTAAACAGTTGCTAGTTGGTATGTTAGTAAGGAATTATGTTTAACGTTGTTGAAAATTATACATAGAAACTAATTATTTCCTTATGGCATTTTAGCTCATTTCTCGATAATATAATAATATTATTTTGAAAAGTGCTAAACACTAAATATCTATACTCTATATTTCTATAGTCATACTTAAGTTTAAAAATAATTAATTTATTAAATTAAAATGATTTTCTGAAGATTTATTTCAAAACAATTTTGATATTTATTTCATTTTTAGATTAAATGTACTTATTCTGTACATATTTATGATTATTTTTTATTATAATATATTTTCAAGGGAATGTTTTATTGATTTGATATTTTCTTCGTACAATGAGTATTTTTCACTGATTTTTGATAAAAATACTATTTTTCTAGAGTATCATAACGTGTAGGTATGGCTTTAGAATTAATTTTTTTTTTAGTTGGGGGTTACATTAAATTATTTAAATTTTAATAATTGTATTTATTTATTCTTGGATTTTCACTAATATTAGTATTTGGCATACAATATAAAACTTTTAAAAATTTAGGATAGGGTTTCTCTCCCTTATGCATATGAGAAAAAAACCACCTGCCTTCTTTTATATTATGAAAGGTCAATATAAATTACTGTTGATCTCCATGAATTTTAACTCGTTACGTGGTCTTATGATAATATTATATAACTATAATAAAATCTCAATTAATATGCTCAATTTTGTTGGTTTCAGCACACATAATGAAAATACTAATGATGTTTTTCGGTACGCACATGGTTTTGAAAAATACACAAAAGTCAGCACCAAGCACCCAATATATGTATTCTTAAAAAATCTGTTCAAATTCTTAACAAAATTATTTTCTGTCGAAGATCCCATGTAATTAAATTATTGTGACATATGAAAATAACATTTTTGTATTTTTTTTTTTTTTTTTTTTTTTACAATTCGTTTATAATTAATATTTGTTTTTTTTTTTTAGGAATGCCATTTCTGGTTATTATCAAAACAATACATGAATGTAAACACGATGGATGAAACTGTATAGTATAAAAATGTAAGCAAGATACATAATATGATATTCTTATATTTATTTACTATTTTTTTTCATTTATACAGCACAGATCTGATTTAAAGTAGATATATCATAATGATATTTATAAATTATCTGTTATATTATATTCTTATTTTAATTGCTAGAGTTATTACAAAAAATATAGTGTATTATACTACTTAGATTAGAAATAATAAAAATATAATATTCAATATTAGTAATATATTTATTTATTGAAAAGTCACAACTACACAATATATTGTGTTTAATATTATGTTATTCTATGAAATTGTATGTTTTTTCTCTAAGTTTTGTTATTTTTTTTCATAATAATTTAAATATAGTTTGAATAGTAAATTAGTTTTATTTACGTTCATTAGTATTTACGACTTTGTGTTGTTTCATAGTTAATTAATAATTGCGTATATTATATTAATTAATTTAGTATAGGAAATTGTTTGCTAAATTTTGTTATTATATTTTTCTGATTAATTTTTTACACCCCTCCTAAAAATAATAAATAAAAATTAATTATAAATTGTTTATAGACTAAATATACACTTATATATTATAATATATATATGTTTATATTATTCAGAGTTAATAATACAAGTGAAAAAGTAGGTAGGGAATGCAATTTATTTATTGTATTATTTTATGTATGTATAAGGCGTATACAATTATTCTTGGTACATATATATACAGAACACTAGCACTTATAAAATTTCTAATTGTATGAGAAAACAGTGGCTGATCAAGGAAAATTCAAGTGTTATTACTCATTGTCATATTGAAGTTTTTCTTAAGAAAATAATATTATTAATATTATATTTGCAATAAATTTTATTTCAATACGACACTACCTATATTATTTTTTATTATTCACGTTTCTATTATGGGTACTTGTTTTTATAAATTCAAACGCAATTTATAGTTATCGTGTTTAAATTATAGAAATATTAACTTATTATATTACACAATTAATCACCAAGGTTCTGTGATTAATTTAATGACATTATCAAATTTAATTAGCTAAACAAACCTAGCCTAGAATTTCATTTAAGTTTTTATAACCAATCTATTATTATTATAAAATAATTATTGATTTTTTACATTTCTTCTTCAAGTTGGATAACTAGATTTTATATTATTTATTATCGTTGACTAATTTAAATAGGTATAATATTTTTTAGTATTTGATCAATAAAATATTATTTTACAAGTGCCGAACAAAAATATTATCAAAGAGGTCAGTGTAGTATGGACAATTTTAAATATTACTGCATGCAAGGAAATTATGGGCGCGAATTAATGATTTTTTAAGTATAAGCAATATAGACGAAATAATCGGTGTTTTTCGATCAGTTAACGTATATGTAATTTGACCTAATGATGTCTACATATTTTCTTTCAAAATATAAGGTATTTTTTTTATCGAAAAATAATCTTATAAATTAACTTGCGCATCGTTCACCCAGTCAGTTCAGCTATTGGAACCATCACTATTGGACATTCATACGTATACCTGAAATTTTTCTCATTTCATCGATCAACGAAAAACGAAATGAATACAATTCCGGTAAACTGATGATTTATATTTCATATAGTTCTACTAGCTTAAAAATGAAAATAATAATTACTTTATATATTAATAATTTATGTTTTAAAATTAAAATTTTTTGAGTGCTACTTTGTGTCGTCATTAATATAGGTTGTAGTTTTGGCGATATTTGTCTTCTTACAATGGTCTACCGCTGCCGTAGTGCCTTCATATCCAGTGGAAAAACCAAAGGCCCCTGTGATTGCGCAACTGTTGAGAAACGACTATGTTTACGATAATAACGGACAGTTCAGCCTCAAGTGAGTTACATATAGTTAATGAACTTATGTACAGGTTTTTCATTTCATCAATTTCTAGGATATTATGATTAGGTACTAAGCTATACTTAAAACTTTTATGTATTGGTTAATGGTTGGTTAGATACTATTTAATATCGATAGGAATAAAATAAACAACATTAATTACCTTTAAAAATATACTAATTTTTTGTTTAACTTCAAACAAAATGCATGTTATTTATTGAAAATATATTATGTATTTATGAAATATAGTGCGATTCACCAAGTGTACTTACTATTTATCTTAATTTTATCCGTTAATAATGAATTTATTCAAATTATGATTTTTAGAATTTTTAAGAACACTTTAAAACCATATTTTCAAGTATACTTTGATTTGTTATACAGTCTAAAGACTGTACTGTGGTTATACAATATTATATGCTGAAGCACAATAAGTAAATTTTATAAAAAATAACTTTATATGACTATAAAATTAACTAAATTGTTATAACTTAATGGGATCAAAAACAATTTAGCTCATTATGTGCATTAGTTAAAAGAAATTTAACTTCAATTTTTTGATTATTTGTTATGATTAATAAATCATCTTAGTTAATTAAATTATAATCAGTACATAAAATAAAATAATTAATTAAGTGCTTATTTGAATTTAAATTTATGTACATAAGAATAAAAGTTGTCTTAAAAATTTACAATAAAGAAGAGGGGGGGGGTTCTCAATTAAAAAAGTGAATTTCGCATCAATACAAAAACAGTTTTCAAATGGAATTGAAAAAAAAAGTATTTAAAAATATTGTGTTTAAACATACTTACAAAGTTAAAAATTCCAAAAATTAGAACTTTGATAAATATGTTATTAAAGGAAAAAATCCCAAATTATTTAGCTTTGCGTACTTGTTGAATCACCCTAAATTATACAAATTAAATTGATGGTAAATAATATCATGTAACGACGTATTAAATTTTAGTTATCAGGTGGATGACGGAACATCGCAAACCAGAGAAGGAACGTTGGTACTGAATGATGAAGGAGACGATTATGTTTTGATTCAAAAGGGCTCATACTCGTACATCTCTCCTGAAGGCATCAAAGTTACAGTGACGTACACAGCCGACAAGGATGGTTTCAAGATAGTCGAATCCAGCAACGATGTACCCGCTAGAGTTTAACAGGAAAAGTCCAAACATATTCCATAGTCGTATGATATATCATTATAATATTGTAGCAGATTTAAATGTCCATGCGCCCATTCTATATTGTTCGTTATTATTTTAAACTGATTATGTAGTATTGTAGTTATAGTAAAAAGTTGGAACATAAAATTAACCTGGTATAGGTTTAAATACATATGAAATAAAATAAAGTGTAATGATTAAAATATTTGGTTTTCAGAACGTATGCTTAAGATAAAAAATATATATATATACCTATATATTTTCTTGTCTATATCATAATATAATGTATTTAATTTATTTATTTAATTTTTACACTAAACATACATTTTTAAATTTATTTATTAACATTAGTTTTTAAATGAAATATTCATATTTTGAACACAGAGCTAAACATGTAAATACAAAATACATTAATTATTGAACAACTATATTTTGTGTTTTGTTGATTTTAAAGTTGAAATAGTATAAGTAAAGTAGAGTATTAGTAGATACTCAATAATATAACACAATACAATTTTATTATATTATTTACTCCGTTTCCCTACAATTATTTAAAAGCTTAAAATTATCAGTGTTGGTTTAATAATAATCGGGCAATTGTAAACTCGATTGAAAAATAATCATCATTTAAGTAAAATTCAAATTGATTAATAGTAAATTCAGCCTTCCACTTTCAGATATTACAAGTTTAATGTGTAAAAAGGATCACTAATTTTAAAATTATAAGTATATGCATTACACATATAAGATATGTCAAAGATATTAAAATTATTCGTCGCAGTTCCAAAGGAGCAGCATAATGGAAAATGAGAAAAATAATTTAAAATAAAATATATGTTTATATTTATTTTATTATCATTTTCTGTTTCGTGTTAAAATTATTACTGACAATCACGATTTTAAATATGAACCATTTATTTACAATGGTATGTATATAATTATTTTAATTGTCGTCTGGCGTCTGGATATTGATGTGTTTATAATGTCAACATTTATTTATTTTTACTGAATAGTTTGAGAATGATCAAAATATTGTGAAGAAACGTGTGATGAATAGATTTAGTTATCTATGACGTACAGTATACACGATAAACAAATTATTTATAAATAATTAATTTTATTTTTGATGACTTTGTAGAGTAATTACATCTAGCTAGTAGGCACTTACATTATAATTATCGGAAAACGAATCTAATTATGTTTTTTTTTTGTCATTTTCTTTTTTTAATTTATGAAAACTCAAAGGCATTTTTTAATTACATTTGCTTTGTTTTATTTTTATTATTATCATTATTTAAAAGTAGTTTAACTGCGTGTTATTAAAGAAATTATTTTAAAACTATTTAAGCTATGTATACATGTTCTCTTTTCTGTTGTGATATTCAATGATTATTTTTCGGTATTTTCATATATTTTAAGTGTTTAAGTGACTTTCAATGTACTGCATGATAAAATACGTTATTTGTTGTCTGTAGATTAAATCAGGTTATACATTTTATGTAATTTTATCAGCTGAAGTGTATAATCGATCTTTTTTTGATAAACTATTGTAGAACCGTATTGATAATTAATCTAAAATATATGTAGGTAATATGAACGTTCGGAAAAAATATTTTGTTATACGGTATGAAATTAAAATCAATTGTTTAAAATTTTTAAATGTGACCCTGAAAAAAACCTAGATTACAGAAATATTGATGAAAGAAAAAAAATACACTTATATTTTTACTTACTTATTTTAAATACCTATTAGCTCTTAATATACTCCCATATAAAACACTGATCCGAAAAATTTAGCGGTTAATGTTATAAAGTTACACTGTACATTTGTACATTTATAAATTGTTCTTTGATTAAAATAAAAAATAGAAATAATTATATAATATTAACACTCCATACGCATTTTAATTATTTTATTTATTTTGAAATATTAATAAAGTAATATAATTTATGTATATATACAGAGAGACCAGAGAGTGTTTCATTTACATTAAACTGGCAGATTGTTATTAAATCTTCTTTGTAAAATGTAGATATTATGTATTGCTGCTTAAAAATATTAAATTTAAGAAACTAAAGAAAATTATAACGTAAGCGTTTACAATACCTGTAATAATATAATGATAATTTAATGCTTTCGTAATGGAAAAAAATAAAACTAAAATTATTGTGTTTATTATGAATATTTATACTTCATAATTGTTACAAATGTCAATATAAATTATATAACCTATAATAACTTTACATAATTGTATTATTTTAGTTAATATTTGGTTTTATCTCGAGTATGGTTATTAATTCAATTACTAGCTATTAATATTTTTGATAAGGGTGTTTTAAATTGTACTCATTTAATAAAATACAATATTCCTATATGTAATATTATTATTCACTTCATAATAACATAATATTTTATGCTTAGTAATTAAGTACGTAAATGTGTGTAGTTAATGTTCATATTGATTTATCAGTATCTTCATTATTTTTCATTTTAAAAATTTAAACGAAAATTGTTCATAATAGTACTTATAAAACATGAAAATAAAATTAATTACATTATTTCTGATTTATGGCTCAGATGTATCTTATTGCTACATTAAAATAATCTGTGCATTACAGTAATAAGTAATAATAAGTAGTAAAATTGCTTATAATAATATTATTCGTGTCAATAATTTAGTACAAATAAATTAAAGTATAATATATTTTAATAATATTTTTATTAGTAAAAAATAATGATCTATGCACATTTTATTTGAGAGCAGTTGGTTCATCATTCATCAATTGATCATATATACCGCTTGTCTAGGCTAGGTTAAATTTTATATTTATCGGTAAATTTATTGGAAAAATTTGTTAAATTAGTAATTGTTTTATATTATTTTTTTTTGAAATTTTACCTATCTAATAATTAATAATTAAGAGCCTATTCTTGAAATTGATCATATCGATATTCATTAAAAAATATAATTTCCAAAATTAGTGAAAACATTCATAACTAATCATAACAAAATAACCCTGGTTTTAACTTTTAAATGAAACCAATGTTTTTAAGTAAATATACAATTTAATAAGCATAGGAAATTAAAATAAAGTAATAAAATATATAACTATTAAATATGATTTTATACAATTTAAACTATGTAAATAAGTAATAATATATACACGTGTATTTAACACAGCGTTTACCTTTTGAATATGTGTATAAAGACTAAAATATACAGTATCTCTGTGTAATTGATTGTAATGGACTATAGAAATAATAATATTAGGAAATACCTATCTACCTACATTATAGTTATTACTTATTAGTTATTAAGCTATTAAAAACATTTAAAATGAGAGGTCACTCAATTTTAAAAACAGTAAAATAAAACTTTTGAAAATTCACTTTTACCCGTAACATTTTTCGAGCCCACGTCTTTACTTAGACGTAGAGGGGTGAATAAACGTAGAAAATCAAAAACCATGTTAAAAATTATGATATATTAATATATATATATATATATACTTATATAAATTATACCTTGTATATTATTTTATGTGTAAATATGTATATTGCGAAGGCATAATTTTTATGTATTTGATAAATTATATTTTATATGAACTAGGGGTATCCTTTCATTACGAAACCGTTCTTGTCAGCTGCGTACGACATTTTTACATTGTAGCCTTCGGGGGCGACAAACGAGTACGACCCCTCTTGGTTTAATACGAAACCGGTTCCATCGTCGTTTTGTACTAGCGTTCCTTTTTTCATCTGAGCCGTCCCGTCGTTGAGCGCATAACTGAAATTCAAAAATGGGTATAGTTTAAGTGTTTAACGATAAAAATAAATAATATGAAACAACTATAGCGCATAATATTGTAATATTTAACGTGGATAATGGATTTTAGTTAAGAAATGTTTACGATAATTTTCTCACGTCATTTTACCGTTAAATACAGGGAAACTGGTGTTTTAAATGTTTTTATTGACATCGCGTGAGAAATATAATGTTATTCTCTATACATTGTGTTGTTAGTATATTTAGTGATCCATGTGTAAAAACCGATGTGTACATCTTTTATTATCATTATTGTTGTGTCAATTTGGTTTTATAAACCTTGTGATAATTTTTACTAAGCAATGATTAATAATAAATAGTTAATACAATTAATTATAATACCAGCACGAGACGATGAGGCTAAACATTGCATCAAATATAATTAATATAACTATTAAATAAATGATACAAGTATTGGAGTGTTAAGTCGTAATACAGAAAATAAAAAGGGTAAACCAAAATACCGAATAATAACTACCTATAGTATTATCAAATGGTTTAGTCGATTCAGATAGTTATGGTAATTTTAATACAGTATGAAAACAATTATAGAACACTTATTCAGGTCTACAATTAAATGCAGTTTGTAACACCACTTATTAATCTAAAATGGTTTCGTTGCTCGCGTTTTGACAAAGACGGTTAGGTTAAGTTTTTGAAATTAGGAAGGTTATATGGGTACTGTGTAGAAACTTATGACAATTGTGTGTAAAAAATATGCTTGCGCGAGTATTAGTTGGTCTTTTGCATTCGAGACGTTCTTATTTCTCACCAAATATGTTTTGGGCTTGGTTGAACTAGTTGCCGGTGCCGCCACTAAGAACACACAGTAGTTAACCAGTAATAACAAGGACAACACAATGAATTTCACCTGTGAAAAATAAATATTGAAACATCCGAAACTATTATATTGTAATAATATTATTATGTATAATGCAATTCTTATACACAACGATACAATATTTGAAATCATTTATGTAAAACAGCAACTGTTCCTTAAAATTATATTACATAAAATATACATGTTTAATGTGTATTCTATAGGTACTAACGGTCACCGTCATTGTGAACGTTGTTGTTTATTTATATTTTCATGAAAATTGTACGTGATGTGCTGTTGCTGTCGAGTTGCCGACTGCAAAGAGCTGATCCTCAAAAATATTAACCAAAAACCAATTTAAAAGAAAAAAAATGCCTGATATTAATTTTTATAAATATTGTCCACCTTCAGGGCACATTCACTTAAATATCAATTAATGAATAATTAAAACACGCATAAGGCACATAATATAGGTACTATTATATCATTTTACTAATTACCAAAAATATTATGTGATGATAAAACTAGTTTGTCATAATTTCACGTTTTCTGATTTGTGTATTTGTATTGTACTCAATATCAATTATGAACATTGAACGCTATGCGTTTTCCAGGTTTTGAGTGGAGTGAGAAATGTATTGGTTCTACAATGAAGTGTTTGTTTTTGTGTTTCTCATGATAGTTTTCGAAGCAGAAAAAATACTTTAATCATCAATATTGAGGTTTGTTCTAATAAAAAATTTGATCTTTTTGATACCTACCTTGTAAACAGTAAAAAAGTCTCAGAACATTTTTTTTTAATAATTTTGAAATCTAACTGAGATTATTCAAAACTATTTAAAATGTGTAAAAATTACTTTTTAAATAATTTTTAAGCTCAAATTTTTATGGAATTAGTTTATTTATTTATTTTTTAAAAAGTAATTACTCAATGACGAAGTAGATATATGTACTTATAAGTTATAACTTTTTTCTTTAAGTGATGTACAGTTCTAACCAAACACTAAATTTGTTCGTTACATAACAATTTAGAATATGTAATTTTTTTATTTTGGATTTTTTATTTCAATTGCATTTATTAATAAAAATATTTTGTTAATTTTATGTACCTATTTAAATTCATTTTTGTTTATTTTAAGCTGTTTTAAATATGTGAAGTTAAAGTAATCCCAATTACCTACTCCAGTTCATTGATATTAAAAAAAGTAATATACCTAATTAATTAAAAACTTAAATTTGAATGTATTATTTGTTTAATTTATTTCGTAAGACGAATTTTTACTTATTGAATATAATATAAAAAATTAATAAATAATAATGATAACTATTTTAAAATTAAACTGATTTCGCTCAACTTAGTACATTTTTGGCTCACTTTTTAAATTAATTTTTTTAGAGTTTTTAGGTTATTTTTGCATTTTTTTAAACGCATTTTTGTGTATTTTTTAAAGTCATTAAAATCTTACTTTTACTTATAACCTACAGGCTACAATATAGTAGTAGAAGCTTTCAAATTTCTCAATTTTTAGTTAATGGTGTGAAATTTATTTAATTAATAAACTAATAAGGAAAATTATTGTTTATACACACCATAAAAATTTTCAAATTTTTAAGCATTAATTAAACATCTTAAAAATTATAGTAAAAAAAAAATATTCACAATACTACGAAATGAAATGTTTGAAAAGGTACATAATATAAGGTTATTAATGTGGATATTAAATAAATTTATTAAACGAATCTAAGAAATTTAAATTATTGATAGTAAAATTGGAATATATCATAATATTTTCAAGTATATAAATATAGTATAAAGTTTATTAATGTCGCATACTTTGATTTGTTTATGGAATTTTTAAGTCACTCAACGGGATAACAATTACAATTAGGTGTTTTCAAGAAAAATACCCGATTAGACAAATGTTTTCAAAAATTGATATACTTCTGTACAAAATTAATTTTTTTTTTTAAGTTTATTGTGTTTTAATCGACGTCAAAATATTTTTTTTTTTTAATCAATTGTTTTGTATAATTGTTTTTACATTGATAAATTTTAAGAAGTTATTTTTTTCCTCTAGTAAGCTTATTAAAAATTTCATATTTTATTATACCTTATTTAACAAATAAGCCATTTGTTCATATTAGTCATACATTTATATAATTAGATATATTTTTAACATTGTAAGTAGGTATTTAATATGTGGTTAAATACTTGATATTCCGTTTAGCCAGTAAAAATATTCTTAAAAAATTAGTTATATTCTATTTAATTATGATTTATTTTATAATAATGTATGGTGTACTTTTGTTTAAAAATATTTGATATTTTACTATGGATACAAACAGCCAATTAAATTATTTATATATACATAAAATACTCTGAAAATATGAAATTCTTTTGATTTTTTTTGTTAGTCATATCTTGAATAGTTGTCGATTAAGAAGAAAATGTAATAAATTTTTTTCAAGATAATCAACAGTTTAGCCAGTCTGGTTTTAAAACTGAAATATGTCATTTCAAACAATTCGTATGTGTGTGTATATGCATATATATATTTATATTGTTTAAATGATTTTAGGAAGTGTTATCGTTATTGACGCCTGAAGAATTTGAACGTTACCTGCTTGTAACTTAGTTCAGCGTTTGGCGACAGTAATAGTACAGACAAGACTGTAGGCTTAACTCCAGAATAGTCATGGTAAGTAGTTTAATTTATACGATCAGTACTTTAATTTTGTTAAAACTTAATATTTCATCGCATAATAAGTTATATAATTATTATTTTATGAGTATTTCAATCATTATGCTTGTTTATAAAATAAATATTGAATAATTACGAAATTGAACAAATTTACGAATGTGGAAACATAAATTATTATAGGATCTATTACGTCAAATCGTATTATTTTTTAGTATAAGCAAATAGTATAAACTACATTTCTGTATAATGTTTTCACATATTATTTTTTTAACACATTATTCAATAATTTTTGGCTAAACCTATATATTATATATATTTATCATTTTAAGAAAATATTCATGTTTAGATCATATACATATTACAAGTAATAAGCATCTAACATAATTACTTTAAAATTATGTTTATTAGGATGCAAACATTTGAATTTCCTCATGTATTTAGATCTTGAATTTTTATTTATTGAATTTCAGGTTTTTTTTATTGCATAATTTGTTTAAATAAATGGAATTATAAGTAAATGTGATATAATTAGAAAAAGTAAATAAATAAAAAGACATAATTCACATAGCGAAGAACTTCTCATTGGAAGAATGTAGAAGTCTTAAATTATATTAATACATTTTATTATTTAATTTAAATTATTAAATATAAGTTAAACTAGTTTTAATCTTTAAATTTAATTATAAATACAAATTTAAAAATAATTTTTTTATAGATTGCATACTGTGTATTATTTTTACATTTTAATAAAATTTCATAAAATTACAAATTAAAATTTTTGACAAAGTTGATATTACAGTTATCAGATATTTTTCTAAATAATTAATAAAATAAGTAATAACGGAATAGAACAATAAATAGACAGTATATAAAAAATAATAATAGAAATGATCATTAAATTTTATTTTCCATCATATGTAATTATTTTAAATACATTTTCTGTATATAACATATTAAAAAATGATTTGTATTACTTATAATCAGTATTTTTTTTATAGCATAATACTCATCAGACCTTATATTATTTTTATTAAAACTATCAAATAATGGACTATAAATATTTTTCACATTTTTTGTCATGATTATTAATAACTAAAAATGATTATTTTATAACTATAATTTTTATTTGTGAGTTGTTTGATGTTTTGCAATTTTCATAAAACATTACTGTTTTAATAACCGAATGTACTTATCTGCTTAAATTTGATTTGTTGAATATAAAAGTGAGATATAAAACGTTCGTACATGATATTTTAGGACTAAATACGAATCATGAATAATTGGAGTTCCTTATACCTTGGTTAGGAATTTTATGTATAAAGATAAAAAAAAAAAAAAAAAAAAACTGGAAATTGTAGTAGATATAAATATATATTATGATTTTAAATCAAATAGATTTTATTTTCAAGTTTTAATCATTTTAGATAATTACTAATATTGCTATAACTATACATTACATCATTTGTATATGCCTATTATGCCTACTCTACGTGATTATAAAAAACTTATATATCAAATAGTTTAAAAAAATGACTTATAAATACTTACTTTTAAGTGTTATGGTTACATTTTAGCTATTATAACTTACAAGAAGTCTGAATACTTTTTATTTATATTTTTTTTAGAGAAATTGATTTATTATAAAAGTACCTACTATTATAGAGTAATATGCTTGATTTTCATAGATAATTTTATACTTTATAAGCATATATTTTTTAAAACTGTTTTTAGTAATATGTTTTAATAGCATAGTCTTAAGCGATATAAAATTTGGTAAACCAAGATTTTGGATTCTCCTTCGCTTTTAATAGATAATTAGATAATATTTTCATTCAAAATGTTTTGAAATGTATAAAATAGTAGGTTATCAATTTAAATTATTAGAAACATATTTTTGTATTTAAAATATCAATATTCAGTATCATTTTCAAAATATTTAGACTAAGTTTTAGCTATTTTATAGGTATTTACAATGTCGAACTGTAATTAAAGAATATTAAAAATTATATATTTTTTATAACCATTTAAAGTTAACATTTTTACTAAATTATGATTTTTTTTGGAGTTAGTACTTTATAAATTTTTCATTTTTATAGCTAATACCTTATATTATGTTGTAATTAAAAATATTCTTAGGAATGATTCGTTTACAATTTATATTTTAGATATATTATTGTATTTTATTATACCCAATTATATTTTTAAAATGTTTAAATTAATTTTAAGCTATGGTAAGTTGTTTTGATTCAAAATTTAATATTATTAATACACGGTATAAATATTTAGGTACTATTAAAATAAGTTTATTTCAGATTTATAAATGTAATTTTTTTGGTAAAAATTAATTCAACCTAACGTAAAATAATTATGTATCATAATTGTAAAGGTCGAAAGAACTTCTCTGTTCAAAATAATTTTTTGTATAAAATAATTTATCATTTAACTAAATTTTAATACGTTTATACCTAACTGTAAACCTATCAATGACGAGATATCTCGAGAATTGAGATACATTAGACATCTAATATACAGCTGAATAGTTATTTATTTATCTAGTTCTTTAGTTATTCAATGATTTTTAATTTTATGCTATGTTAAATGGATTGATTATTTATTCTAGTGTTGGATATTCTATAACTTACAAGTTATTTATTCAAATTATGCATTGTAAAGAGATTTAGGTGCATTCTTTAAAAAACATATTTAAAATTATTTTTTAGAATATAAATTATAAATAATTATTACCAACTACTTTTGATGTAGAATTAAAATAAAGTTTCATTTTTGTGATCGAGAAGATGGAAATATTACAATACAAATTTTTGAATATTATAATATATTGTTATACTATAATCTTTATAAAAATTATTTAATTATTATAACCAACTAAAATATAGAATTATGAGACAGTTCCGTATCTATAATTAGTTTATATCTGATAAAGAAAATTAGATTTATAAAAAAAAAAGCATTTTAACGTATGACTTTCTAAAACTTACCTTTGTACCCACGGAGAACTTGATTGAGAATAATGATTTTTAATACAACGGTTATAGAATTCTAAGATTTTTATTTAAATGCATAAGATTTTAAAAACATTTTTTTATGTTCAAGTATTTATAAAATTTGTATTTATTTACTTTTTTATTATCTTTCCAGGCAACTAAATTGTTATGGATAACAATAATTCACGTCTTATTATGGAACTTAATATTTTCTGTAACTGAGAGTATTGAATTAGATGGGTTTAAAGATTTATCATCAAATAATTTTCGTGATCGAGTACGATTTACAACACATATTTGTGACCGTTTGAAAGATTCACCACCACCGGTTGCTTATCATAATAATGATGAATCTTTATCTGATTCAGATAGTGATGCGGGTTTAGTTAAGGATATGAGTAAAGCAGTAAATCCTGTAAAAAGGCACGCAAGCTTACGATGCTATATCCATAATACACAAGAAAATAAAGAACCTAATAACTTAGATCCTTCAATAACAAGTGAATGGCAAATGAAGTCTACTCCTGCAAACAACGGATTTGGTGCAGATTTGTATGACCATTCAATAGTTCAAAAACCGAAAGTTGTAAATCTAAAAGATGTTGACATTAATGCACATCAAGGATTGTTATATTCTAAAAAACCATTTTTACAAAAAGGAAATCTTATTGGTGAAATTCCAAATCATAAACAACTTCAATTAAATTTACAAGATAAGACGAACAAAATTAAATCATTAATGTCTGCACCACAGCATAAGTTTGTTAATATAATACCAGATAAATTATTGGATGAAAGTCTTCATACCAAATTAGTCCAGCCGTCGCTGACTTTTCCATTACCTGCTAAATTTATTAAATCTCCACTAACTGATTCATTATTGCGGCCAATTGACACACATAATAGTAATGGTGATTCAGCAGTGTTGACAGTAGATAATGATAAAAAAAAAGATCCGTTAATACTGACTCCACCTTCATTACATAATATACCAAATAAAAATGTCTATCAAAAAGATTCGACAGTTGAAAAAAAACCATTATTAATGTCTTTTCCATCGATTCAGATTAACAAGCCAAAACCTGTAGAAATATCGGATGACAAACATATACCACCTATCGCCTATCGGCCTTCACCTCCATCTCCAGTTCCTCAGTACATAAAAGCTCCTGTCACAAAACCAATATTTGTACCGATTTTTGTGAATAAAGGAGTAATAACATCACCAGAAAAAGAACGACCGCAGGCTAATATTGGGTCGTTATTACATTCTAAAATAATCAAAAATGGTATTACTGAACCAACGTCTCAACCAATCTTAATTGAAAAAAAAGTTACAATAGCTTTACCACAAAAAAAACAACCGGGATTAATTGATTTGTTATCACCTACACAGTTTATTAAGACTCCTGAAACAGACATAGTACATAAACCGATAAAAATCGAAAAAGATGCTTCAATATCTGAACAAAATGGACAAAAACAGCAGATAATTGATTATTTGTCACCACAAACTCCGCAATTTATAAAGACTCCTGACAAAGAGTCATCATATCAGGGGACATCAGAACAAACAATAGTATCGGTAAATGCGCCGTATGAGCAAAAACAATCAATAATTAATTTACCATCACCTCCTCAAATAACAGGAAATTTCAACAGTGAATCAGCATCTCAGATAATGCCAATTCAAAAAGAAGTTTCAACATTCGCTACGTATATACAACAGCAGCCATTAGTTGAATTTTCACCACCTCCAGAATTTCAAAAAATTAAAATACAAAAGGAAGTATCGATATCATTGCCAAATCAGGAAAAAAAGATTGTTGATTCACCTCCAAATCTAATTAATTCTTTCAATACTGAATTTATGTCTCAGTCAATTTCTCAAAAAAAAAATTCATTATATGACCAACAAAAGCCTATCATTTTGCCATCACCTCCTCCACTAATCAAGACTACCACTTCAGCGTATGTCAAATAATTGAGTAATAAATATTTACCATCTATTTGTCATAACTTCCAAAATATCAACAGTTTTTCATTGCTGATATTTTAAAAGTTATTTATAAGTTATATACTTATAAATTTTATCATAGTAAAGAAATTTAAATATCTTATATTATATTGAAATCTTTAATATTTATACTTCTTTGATATATTATTTCGATAAAAAATGTTTATGTAAAATATTAAAATATGCAAAAGTTTATAAAGCTTATAAAAATATATTATATTTTTATATATCTTATTAAATTTATGTTATTTGTCGATTGAAAAATTAATAAACTCTTAATACAGTTTAAACTAAACATTGTGTTATAATAAAAATCGTTATATATTTTACATTTCTAAAATCTATAGTTGTACCATTGTAGGGTTGGTTGATGAAGTGTAGGTAGGTATATTATGTTAAATTACATGAAAAATTGATAAATTGTGTACATATCTTAGTGCTTAGTATTATTAAATAAAAATACATTTTTGCAGTTAAGATGGATTATGGATTCATATAATTATGATCCATTCTTTGTTGTTTTAATAAAATATAAATTTAAGATGCATAGCTATTATACCAGAGTTTCTCAACCTGATTGTATAGAATAAATTCTAGGAGGGCAAATTGTGTGAGTTAATATTTTGTGTATGGATCATCATTCGTAAGCAAATTAAAAAAAATAGTGTGGTTTTATTTTAGAACAACTTGTAGATAATAATTAAACTAAAAAAAATTGAATTGAATATTTTTACTAAAATTATTTTACTCGACTAACATAACTAACATAATACTTATGTACATTAATATTATTAATACTAGTATAGCAGAAATTGTTTACGAAAAGGATAAATCGTATATTCGATTATCTCGATTATCATTAGTCCTTAAACATAAATTAGGATAATGGGAAACAGCTCTCTCAGTGATTAATTTGAATTTAATTTTAAAAACAGTAGCATAAAAATTGATTTTATATTACTACTTAAAAATTTAGAGCCGATGGCGTATACTTTAAATGTTAAAATAACACTTTGTACATTTGTATCGTAGTATTGCATTTTTAAATTTTCACAAACGATATGCTTAGTTTAAAGTTAATTAATCTTAATAATAACTTAGTACAACAGGATATTTTTAAATTTGAATTTTAAAACAATAAAAATAAAATTTTTTTTAAGAAATAAATTAAATAACCTAGTTATACATAATAATATATTGATACATTTTTTTTTTTAAAACTATTTTATTCATGTTTTTTTTTTTTTTTTAAATGTTTTTAATTATTTATTTATAATCATTTAGAAAATACCTGATGATTAAAAACATTATCTTTCATTTGTTGGGTGACAAATTACTTCAGATACGTATTAGATATATACTTAAATGTAAGACACGTAGAACCAATACTGAAATCGACATATGTTTCACCAGTATGGGTCTTGGAAATAGTTTTTAAATGTTTCAATTTTGGTTACTGTAATGTTAGTAAATGAAAAAACCGAGGTTTTAGTCATTTCTAACCAGTTTTTAGCCTTATTTGTAAAGTTACATTAATTTTTATAACATGCATATAAAAAGAATAGGTTTTAAAATTACAGACACATGCTGTAGGATAACATTAATTTTTTTGTAAAATGATCTGGAGATACGTATTATATATTATTATAATAATAATATATAATATATACAGTAGGATATCGCTAATCCTAACACAAGCTAATCCGACAGACGTGAAAATCCGAACTGACTTGAAAATGGCCGAATCGTTATATTAATACACAAATGCATGTATATCATAATAATAATATTTCCTAGTAATAAAATTTATCGATTACATTGTGTGTAATACTATATAGTGATCGTTAATAATTATAATAATTTTGATTATATTTATTATGTTTTTTGCTCAAAAATGTATACGAATTAATACAGTATAGAAAAAAATTGATTTCAAAATTAAAAATGGAAGAAATTTGATTTTTTTGAAAGTCATAACTCATAACTATTAGGTAATCCAAACAAATCGTTATTTCGAATGATTCTTTTGCCCAATCTCGTTCGAATTAATGAGATTCTACTGTATATGTATATAAATTATAATTTTTTAAGATAAATATATTTTTATATTATGTGAAGTAGTTAAAATTAAATAATATGATTCAGTCTCTGGTCTTGAATATTAAAGATATCGGTCCGTCAGGTTTGTTTATCAATAAAGATTTACTATCCAACTTTGGTCCCGTCCAAGTCATCTTAAAGTTCCTGACAATCTGAAACACTCGTAAATAAGATATATTTTTATAGCTATGTCCTTATTTCATACTATTTATAAAATTTGTATATAGTGCTTGTTTGTGTGTAATTCGTAAACATTACTTACTTTTATGAGCACGACTTGCAGGAATTGCTCTGACAAACGTCTTGCTATACACGTCCTAGGTCCGTGGCCAAAAGGTAAAACCAAATACGGACTAACGGACTCGTAATCGACGCTGCCTTTTAGCCATCTCTCCGGCAAAAATTCATCGGGTCGCCGGAAGTATTTTTCCTGACGGCAGCTCACTTGGTTTTGCGTGACCACGACCGTCTATAAAAATGTTTAAAAATAGAAATTATTAAGTTTATTGTTACTTGATCAGCGTATCGCTGTTGACATCATAAATTTGGTAGTTACTATTATAATATTATATAAATAAAACGTCACATGGTTGTTACAGTTCTTAAGAAGCTTATCAAGTGAAACGAAATATTAAAAAAAAATTACATTATGATTCGATTATAACTAATACGATTAATAAAACGACTGGCCCAGTGTCCAAAAAAAAACGTGGACTAAAATAATAATACTGAAATAATACTCAGATCATTTCAAAAATATTAAATTAAAAAAAAATTAAAATTGAATTTGTGACCGGTGTTCAAGAGTCTGATACCGATTGAGTTTACAAAAGTCATCCACTTTTTGTGTAAAAACCTTTCTAGTCATTGAATGCATACTAAACGATTGTGCAATATTTGGTTACGTCTCGAATTATCATATTATATTTTATTATATTGTATGTTGAATTTACTCCTGCCGGGACTCTGTATCCTGAAAACATGCACTCCTCTGGCAATATCCGTCCAACGCCCACCGATATTGGATTCATCCGGAACATCTCCTTGATGATTGCTTTCGAATATACGGCTCGCTCTAACATCCCACTGGTGACCGGTGTGTTGTTATGTGGCAGTAAGGCTCGCGCCTCACAAAACATTTTCTCCTGTACGTCCGGGTTCGAGGACAAATGGTACAATCCAAAACAACATGAATACGTCGCCTAGAACCGATAAACTGTATTTACATCTATCTATATAAAAATATTTATGCAATGATAAAAAATAATTATGATTATAATTGTGAGAGTATACAAGTGTATCAAATTGTATAACAATATACATAGGTTTAAACAAACTCTCAAATTGCAGCCTACATGCGTGAAGTCGGCCCATAACCGATCATAAATCATCACTTATTTTAATATTATAATAATTATCTTAATTATGAGAGAATTTATTTGAACGATATCAGCATTTCTGCTGGAATTGTATACATCATAAAATTATTGTGTTTTTGTGATAGAATTGTATAAGTAATAACAATTTTATTTGGTGAATTTTAAGATAAGTTAAAAAAAAAATTAAAGTATTCGTCTACTTCTAATAATTGATTTTTTAAATACTCGTATGGATGTTTGTTTTAGACGAATCGTATAAAGTGATAGAACTACATAAATAATAAAATTTAATTTTTAAATTAATTATAACAATTTAATACAATTTATTTTGAATCTGAATGGTATTCAAATTATATTAAAAACTGGATTTAAATTATTTTTTAAAATACATACAGTAGACGCCGCTTATAAGACTCACTTTGGGACCAGTACAAAATGAGTCTTATAACCGAATGAATCTTATAGGCGAAGTGGAAAAAAAAATTAATTACGTATTTATAAATTTTATTTTACTACATACTTTGCTTTGATTTTAATACATTAATACATATTACATACTTTATTATTGAATAAATTTAATAACCCCGATAAAAAAAAAAACTAAAATTATAATCGTTATAATTATTGTTGCGATAAATGTGAACTTTTATCTGCGATAAAAATTATTATACGTTATAAGGTACCAACAGAAACTAGAAATAATCAACACGAATATTATTTCATTTTTCAAAACCAATTTATTTCTAAATTATAACCAAAAAAGTTTATTTTCTACTATTTATTTTACGAAATTTGAGTCTTATAACCGAAGTGTTGAATCTTAAAACCGATTTTTTTTTAATGTATTTGGATACGTCCGGACCGTTCCAGACGATTTTGAGTCTAATAAGCGGCTGAACCTTATATCCGTGATTCTTATAAGCGGCGTCTATTGTATTATAATTTAGAGCAGAGCTAACTTGATGATTATCACAGGGATCCTCACTAATCCGAACTATACATCATAATATAAATTAAAAATAAAGGTAGATAAAAAATAGCGCTAGTATAAATTTTCAAAAATTACATTGTTTTTATAATTTTATTTTTATAGTAGGATAGTTAAAGGCGACGGTTAAAATTCTTGTTATAAAACAAAAATATAATAAATTGTATTAGTTCAGATGGTTTTTAATGTTTTTATATTAGTTTATAATATAATTTTATTGGAGTATAATAATTTATTCAAATAAATTTACCTATAATATAATATTACCGTGTCGATTCCAGCTAACAAAGTGTCAACAGTCATTCCAATTACGTCTTTGTAGTCTGTCTCTCCTGAGCTTAAATATTGTTCTAATAATGACGCTTTGGAGTCTGTCGTTTTAATACTGGTTAGTTTTTCATTCACAACTTTTAGCGCGATTCTAAAAAAAATATAACTTAAAGATATACTTGGATTTAAAGTGTTTTTAAAATATAAATATTGGATTATACACTATACGGGAATATTACCCATTTGTGACAGAAAAATTAATTTTATTGAATGTAGTTCATCCGTGTCAAAAAAAAAAAAAAAAAAGGTAAATTTCCATCAACAGTCCTTTTACTCCAAATTTGTATTTCACGATAGTGACATGCTGTAATTCAAATTTAAAGGCAGATATTATAATGTTATAAGTATAACATTACATAATATAGTCATTGTACATTATAATTTAATATTTAGATTAATTTCAGCTTTTACACAAAAAGTACTTAAAATATATATAAAAGCCTTAATTTTTTTTTGACCTAAATGTAGTTATCGTTTGTTTTTTTTATAAATTTAATGAAAAATATGTAGTTTTCAGTAAATAATTAAATTGAATAAAATTTAAAGCAAAAGGGCTGTCGCTAGAAAACATTTATAGCTTTAAAATGACTCAGAGGCTTGGCATATTAACCACAATATTGGTAGATACTAGATATTGAGGTTAAAATAATGCCAGATCTACAGCATAATATTTTTAATTTAATTCTTACACTATATAATATAATAATTATTATGGCATCTGAAAGACTAAATAATTATCTACTTTAATATTAATACTGTTTACAGATGATGATACAATTTTATTTAGGGTAAAATTGTTAAATTTTAGTATTTAGCAAATAACTGTAATTGAAGATTAGTTAACATAATCAAATAATATTATGTAAATTGATTAAGTTGCTTAATTCATATAATGACCTACTTTTCAATGTGTTCGTGTCCTTTTATTATACTTTTATACATAGGGGTGTTAAATTTTCTCCATAGTTGTGGTCCATTATCAGTTTTCAATATCGCACTGTTTATGTCGTGAGCCGCTTTGATCAATTTTGAACACTCCGAATCAGAGTCCCATTCTGCATCTTTGAACCACTGTAGTCGTTCGTCGAAGGCAACATAGTACGTAACTGTGGACAGTGTTCGAATTTAATAATAATAATATTAATAAACTGTTTCGTAGATAGATTATTCAATATTTCTGTCAAAAAATTTTTACGTTCAAGGAAGAGCCTAGATAGTTCGGGACCGAAATCATTTGTACGACCTTTGCGTTTTATTCTCCGATCTATAAATTCTTCAACTACTGTGTTCGTACTATCCACATACCCTTTAATGCACTGGACTTTACTTAAATGTTTTTGGAACGCTTTTCTTAGTCTCCACCAATCCTTGCCATTTCTATAATACGTTTACGTCATTACGTGATAAAAATTATAAGCATAGTAAATAAAATGGTAATATTCGTATTTGAATGTCTATAGAGGTTACTTACTAAATTTTAATAATACTGATTTTCAATGAAAAAAATATTATTAATTTCGCCCATTGTTATAACTTAAAAGGTGTGTGTATTGAAAAAAAGAAAATAGTTTGAGTATATAGGCATAGAATGAGATTTGTTTGAAGGTTTTATAAATTTCAGATAGTTCATATTGACAATATACAGTCAATTAAAAAATGAAAATATATTTTTTACAATGTTAGTAACAACTACGTTACTTCTTTTACTTAAGTAATATACAACAAAATATGAGACGTATTTAAACTTATTTTTTTTTATTATACTCATATTAATAAAATAAAATAATAAATTCGTTATTAATAATGATAATTAAAAAGTAATACTTATAATGGCTATAACTAATATTTAATATTTACATTTCAGAAGATGCGTATGTAATATGTATTTCAAACTCACGTGGGCAAAAGTCCTCCAGTGTTGTACACCTCTGGTTTGCTCAATCTGTACTTTTGTAATGCTAAATGACTACGTCTTTCCGGATATCTGCCTTCTTTTCGGTAAAGCATCTCAATGTCTTCTGGTTTGAATATCCACACTATGGACACGCCGGGTACAATGTCTTCCCGAACAACCGGCCCGTACTGTCGGAGTTTCATCAACCCATTGTGATGTAGTCTGTCAAATTTGTACTTGCCAAACATCGGTAAGTATTGATAAAGGGTGCCGACTAGAGGTAAGGATTTTGGTCCTGGAATTTCGTCAAATGTCTTAACAAACTTCGTTTCAGTTGAAAGAAAACGTAGTACTTGAAATAAAGTCGATTTCTAAAAAAAAATAAAAAGTATGTTATTAATTATTTTTTATTGACTCTTTTGTATAATGATATGATATATAGTTATAAAATTAATTTTTATCACAGTCAGAAAATTTTTGTTTGATCACAATTAAAGGCATTATATAGGTTTTATTTACAATGAAATTAAAAATTATATGTATGCGTCGTTTCGATAAATTCATCCATTTAAATGATTTATCAATGTTTTATTTATATTAACATAGATTGTAATAATAATTCGATAACCTAGTATTAAAATCTGTACGTTTTGTGTCAAAACGTACTCATCAAGATACAAAACAATACGATTTTTATGACATTTTGAATTTAAATTTATTTTTCGTTTATTCCAATACTTAGAACAACAAACATCAATAATGCATTTTTCCCCGTGGTTTGAGAGAATAGACATGTGCAAACTACGAGTCTTATTTTGCATACAACAACAATGTCGTATTTCGATTACCGGCAGTGTCAGCTAAAACGTTTTTTGTGTACTCAATCATGTTATATAAACGCATTTACATGCATTGTTATATAATGCCAGTTGCCACGCTGTGTAGTATATTGGTTAGAAATTATACCGTTAATATCATCATAACTACGAACACCGGCATCATATATTTGAAATAAATATATTTTATAAAAGTTATGAGTGAAAATACAATAACAATAGAATTGATTGATTACACCATTACGAGAAGAAAATAATAAAAGTGTAGGTATATTATGTTGAGCAACTTCTGAATTATATATAATTCATTAATTTCAGTTGAAAAGATGAGCATGATAAAAATGGTTTTATCTATTAGGCATATAATAATATCTCGTAGCCAGTTTAATGACTCAACCTGTTAAAGCCGGTATAATTTAATGTCACTAATAAATTTCATATGTTAATTGGTGAGTTTTTAAAACTGTCGGATGTAGATTGGAACGTTGATATATTACTTGTCTAAATTAATCCGATACATTGTATTGTTCAAAAGAAATTTAATATTCATCGTTGCCATTTGTATCTAACATGGTATACTAAAGCTGTGTATTACACAGGAATATAATAAATCTGCTCAAACCACAAAGACGTTCATAGAATATAGTTATCGTTTTATTGATCGTTATTAAATTTGTTATACTCACGTTGCAATGATGAATTCGTCGCATGATGTTATTGTAAAGTTTCGAACGCATATACGCAACACGTTATACAATGAATTGTGGCTGCTCTAACTAAACGTGAGATATATAAAACATTTTAAAAATTATAATGTAAAAATAATATTAACAAACGGAGTAACTCGGTGCGACAGTCTCGGAAACAGACCACAGACTGCCGCCGAAATCAGAACACATAATAATACAACATATTATATGAAGGCACACGCGTGCGCAGTACAGTGCTGTCGTGATACGAACGATAAAATTATTATTTTATAAATGAATTATAACATTTATAACCATTTTTGTGAATTATTATTTATTACATATTAGATATTTATTATTAAAAAAGAATGGCAGAAATGTCCATTTATATCGCAAGTCGTTGTATTCAATAATAATATAAAATATCCATGAGGGTAACATTAAATAGATAAAATTCTATCTATGTAGGATTGATTCGATGTTTAAAAGTTTAGTTAGGTATTAACTATGAAGTCTACATTTCTCTATAGATACAAAGCAAAATGTAAATATTTGTATTTGTATTAACATTTTTTAGAAAAAATCAATAGGACTTGTGAAATGTATACTTTATTTTAATTTTCTAACAATAAAAATATAGTTTATGTTAATATTAGATTTAAATTAATTATTTCTACGTAGCCTAAATCTCGGAATATGGTAATAAAATCATTTGTTTAGTGATTATTCATTTTAGTTCAAGTCTCTGATATTAATAATTTATATTGTTGTTGGTACTTGGTACATGGTTTCTCTTGAAAATAATTTTGTTTATAACACGCTAATAATATAGTAGGTATAACTATAGTGAATTCATATGGTTTATGACCTGTTTGTTACAGGTGATGTTGCTAATGCAGTATTATATGAAATACCTAAACCTACGTCACATTTTCCCCGCCACGACGTTATTCCATAGGTACATCTTTCTAAATATTCAATTTCGATAGTTTCTTATAGGTGTGCGGTCATTACATTTCTTTATAACTCGTTAGTATTATGGTATGCATCGATAGGTGTAGTCACGTCGACTTGAATGCACATCTATTGCACAACAGAATTTCGGCGTTTTATATTTTGAAATAATATAACAAATACATTATACCGCGTGCTAGTGCATCAGTTCGCAGATATACGTGACATGACATTTTCAGATTCGTTTGTTTTCAAAAATCGCTTATATGTTATTTAAATAAGTATATCGATATAAACATTAAAATATAAATAATTCCATTTAATTATAAGTATAAAATAATAATTCGTGATATTTTAATGATTTTTATTTTTTAAGTTTTATTCAATTATATGTACAGCTACATTAGATTTATGTTAATGTTTCAGTGACACATTCAATTTCACAAGTAATAGTACTGATGATAAATTGATTAGTTATAAAATAATTTTATCTTATAATGAATCAACGTTTTTAAAGTAGTGAAGTTGAATTTAAAAAAGGATACTCATTTTCTTTAAATTTTAAGATATTCATCTCAAAACTGGTAATTTTAACTTTTTGATTGAAATTTAGTATATTTTATTTATTTTTATTTTTATGCATTAAGAATATCGCGGAATTCAACAATTTTTTCTCATGCATTGTTAAAAGTAGATGGAAGAGTAAGATAAACAAACCCCTAATGGTTATAATGATATTATTAACATTGAAATGTATACATTTTGATTACAGATAATTCTCCGTAAAAAACGTTTGGAAAAAATATTTCCATATACTTATGTTATTGTCACGAACCTAAAAATATTAAATATTATATCGTCTAGTTGATAATATTTGGAAACATGAAGTGGCCAACATTTTCAATGAAATCCAATACAAACAATTTTAGTTATGGAATCAATTCCACTATAGCACAGGTAGGTGCAGTATAATTTATAAACGACCGGTGATCACGTTTAGATGATAATTATTGAGAGGTGGAAATCTAAAACTTAATTTGGTCATAATTTACAAAATCGAATTATGCATCGATTCTAAAGAAAAATCGCCAAGAAATCGATTGACGTTGTCAGAATAGATCAAAACGAATTGTTTCCCGGTCGAATCCGCTATTTAAAATGATTGGTTAATCTAACAAGTACCTTTTCCATAAGCTATTTAGATAATCAAAATGTATTTTTTCTAGTTTTATGTCAATAGAAATTACGTAGGTACTATTGTCTATGTTAAAAAAATTGGTATCATTCATACTTTATCAAAACGAACAATATTTGTAAATTATTCCAAAACATATTTTTTATGTTATGCCAAAACGTAGTATTGTCTGTATTCTGCAGTAATATTGGTGTTTGAGAATAAAATAGTTAATTTGAAATGTACTAAATTATTGGAAATAGTACTTTACGGATTGTTGTACGTTTTGAAACGCCAAAAAAATATGGGCTTAAACTTAAAAAAATTTATATTTTTTTAAAGAATATTGCTATAATCTATTGTTTATTACATCTATTAAATTCAGTTGGGGTATAAGATATTCGATTGACATAACTCAAAGATCACTTTTGTAGACAAGATAGGACTGTATTATTGATATTTGGTATTTTTTTTTATATATTAGATCGTGGCTTTGACAACGACCTATATTTTCAGCATGAAAGTTGGTATCGACATGATGACGCCGACGATAATCATTGGCGCTGTGACCGACAAACGCAACAACACTGGCTACAATCCTCTATCCGACATATCAGAAGAACAGACTTCCTGGATAGGTGAGAATAAAAATCGAGTATTTATCGCGAATGTAATAATCACAGTATCGTATGCATTTTATTACCTATACCTACGTTATTTATACTGGCCTAAAATACCTACAGATGATGATCTATTTCACTGTAAACAACACTTAACTAAAACAAAAATTAGCATAGCTGATTACATTTTGTATCATTGTATCAATGTATATTGGCTTATTTGAATATATTGTATTATACTTTAAATATCAGGGGCGTTGTCAGGATTTTTTTAATGGTGGTATTTAATTACATGATGTGTAAACAAAACTTTTTCTTGAATGAGAAGGCTTTAAATTCACTCCATTGTAGTTATCAGTCGTCATAATAATTATATAAAATATAAAGTAGAACCGTAAATGGCAATATGGTTCGTAAACATTTTTAACATGATATAGTTAACATATTATTTTTAGCACCACGTGGTACTAAACAGGATTCAAGTAAATATCTTGTACGGATGAAAGTTTAATCACGCGGAATGATTAAAATAATTGTTTTGTTAGGTTTTCGTATAAATGTTTAAAAAAAATCGGATATAATGAGTTTATTCGTCACTTATTTTTTTATGTATATATTAGCCGACCTATCACAGCTTCGCCCGTGATTGGTTATTTATTTTGCCTACAAACGATGATATGGAGAATTTTTTATTAAAATTGTATTGTTTAATAATGTGATCGGCAAGTAAATATTAAAAACAGTTAATGAAAACGTATTGAAATGTTTCTAATGGTATTAAGTATTTGGTGTAACTTTTTGAAAAAAATTGGAAAAATATTAAATAGTGTCATCAAAAAATTGGAACATTTAAATAAAATACATCCTCTCCCACCCTCTCCAGAAAAAAAATTAAAAATCGGATGATGTGGTGACATTTAGGAGGGTATTTGAAACAACTCGGTAAAAAAAATAAAAAAAAAATAAATAAATAGTGTTGTCACAAAATGGTAACATACAAAAGGCCTGTTCTTGCGGACCTCACAGAGAGACTCCAAAAATTAGTTTTGTTTTTAATTTTTCAAGAACTTTATTGTTAACTTTTGAGTTAATTAAATCTTATCATAAAACAGTGTGAATAAATAAATGGTATAAATAGATAGATAATATCTTTAAATTGATTTAGATATTTTTGAAATTTCATTCCGGTATAATTATAACAACTTTTCTTATAACTGTTTTAATGGTAACCATGATTATAAAACATTAATTTTAATAATAATATTGGATATGCGTAAAAATTCTCATTTTTCTTAATTTTCTTAATTTTTTTATTAAAAAAAGTGATACAAAAATCTTCAATAGACTATCAATAGTTTAACAGTAAAAATTTCAGCCAAATCGGTTCAGTAGTTTTCTCGATTAGTGTGGTCGTAGAAAACCCCTTACAATTTTATATAGTAGTATAGATTTTACAGAAATTTAACTTTTCGTGACATAATTATATATTTTATGATTGATAAAAAAATCTTGAAAAATGTATTTCAAGATTTCTTATAAGTTGTATTTTACAGTTTAAAAATACTGAAAATGTATAGGTGTAATTAATTTTCGTAAGCGTATGAAGTTAAAATTGTATTAATCAATATAGGGATATTCATAAATTGTTTTTACAATAATAAAAAAATCTCAAGTATATGTATGTTTTTTTTCATAACTGTTTTAACAAGTTAAATTGTTTACGAAGCCGAATATTTAAATTTAAAATAACGATTGTGTATAGTTATTGTTATTTTGCTGTAATTCAAAAAATATTATTCGCGTGGTACTTGAATGATTGTAGTTCACACGACTTACACTATGCAATATAAAATAATTATAAATAATAAAATAGAAGGAAATAAAATTTATCGGATGAAATACTGTTATTGTGTATGGGTAGCTTGTCGAAAAAAATAAAATAAAGTTAGACTAGTCGCAGCAAGTCTATAAACCTCAACTCACCAGACACAATCTAACTACATCACGCACATCATGGCTAATGTCCTAATTTAAAAATGCGCGCAGGAAGTCTTATCTACTTATTCCCGCCGGTGGGCAGCGTGGTCGTGTCCTTCGTACAGGACCGTTTCGGTCACCGGGCGTGCATGGTGGTGGCGAACTTTGCGCACTTGTTGTCCGTGGCCACTTTGCTGCTGTCCGACGGCCCGGCAGGACTATACGCTAGCTCGGCACTGATGGGCTTCAACGTGGGCTTTGTGACCAGCTTTTCACTGTCGTACAGCGGTGAAGTATGCGAACCCAAACTCCGTGGCACGCTCACCGCTGTGCTCAACCTGTTCTACTTCGCCGGTTACCTGTGCGTCACCATGTTGTACGCGATCACCGCCGACTGGCGGCTGTCCGTGGTCTGCACCGCGATCTTGCCACTCGTAAATGCTGTGGTCCTGTTTAAGGTACGTGTAGTGTGTTAGTGATAGATTACCTTCTAAATTGAATCAATATTTGTATCTATTTCAAATCGAGTTTAAGAGATCGATTCGCAAAATTATCATGCACCTAAAAATTGATATTCAGACAAAAATAATAGTAATTTTCAACATAAAATTCTGAGAGAAGTGAAGGTGGTATCGATTTTACAACGATGTATGATATTTTATGTATTTTTATTCCTGAAGAATCTTTTTCTAGAAAAAAAAAAAATGCTTCGATCGCCAACGTTGAGGAAGTTTTTAATAGCGAAATAATCGATATTTTTAGTAGTTAAAAATTGAAAATTATCTGCAATTTTTAAAATAATTAGAAAAAAAAAACTTATAAGCGTGAAGTTTAAATATTGTTATTAAAATAAATGTTTGATAATTATTGTTACCATAAAGTTAAGCCATCTTTGCTCAAAATATTTTTCATTGTGTACAACGATTTACTATTGAAAAAAAATTTAACACAACCATTACCATGTTCTACTCAATGACAAGGTACTCTTAGAATTGATGTACAGCAGAATGGTTATTTAGTTGACGAATTTTCTTCTTTTTTTTTTTTCATTTATAGTTATAATAATGTAACAATTGCGTTTGCTTTTTGATTCAACGATGATATCGAAATCAAAAAATAATTATAATTGGCTTCAAAAAAAAAAAAAAGAAATATAAAATTAAAAATGATATAACGTTTCAGACTCCAGATTCACCAATGTGGTTGATGTCTCGTGGTAGAACGGATGAGGCGAAGAGCACGTTTAACAAACTCCGAGGTGGCGTAGGCGAGGAAAAGTTTGCCATTGAATTTCGGGATATGGTTCATTACGCATCCGAAATTAATCTGAAAAATCAACTTACAGATGGTTATTGTTTAATATAATTATAAATAATCTGATAGGAACATAGAGTCTAATTTTTGTTCTTTTGGACAACATTTTTGAGTTGAAAAACTTCACTAATGCAAATGCATTTTAATAATAAAATAATACAGTTATCAATAAGTTGTTTTAAAAAAATAATACATATTATACCTAATAATATTATTTTTTTTACATTAAAAATGTTTATTTAATTTAATCTAAGTAATGTGCATTAGAAAAAAAAAATCTTCTAAATAATTACCTAAAACCAAAAATATTCGCTGAAACACTATATTTTATAAATTTTTGTTTAATTTATGATTTTTACATCAAATAATTAACTATAAATTTTCTTTATAAAGATTCAATTGAATTATATTTAAGTTCTAAGCCATAAATATTTTCATATCATTGTGATTAATATCGACTTTTTAATGCAACAAAATTACATTAACTATGAATTATTTGTCGTTGTGTAGCTTAGGTATGTAAAGCTGCGAAATTAATAATAAACTTTACCGCTAAAATGTAAAATTTGTATAATATAAAAATCAGCGTATACTTCTTATATATGGACTAAACTATTTTTATGCAATATAAAAATTGTATACTGTGTATTTACATATACGAGCATCTATCTATTTTAAAAATGCTCATGTTTTTTTCAGGAGAAAAACAGGAAATGTCTTCTATCAAATATTCGCTGTACCGTTTCATGGAACCCGAAACGATGAAACCTTTGCGACTGCTTATGGCAATGATTTTCTTCACCAACCTGTTGTCCGGTATACCGTATACTCCGTATCTAATATCTATATTTGATACTTTCCAAGTGTCATTTCATCCTGCTTGGGCAACGGTTGGTCAATTTTCAATATATTCATTATCAAATCATGTTCATTCTATTTATACAGCATTTTAAGAATTACGTATTATATTTTAAATAAACCATAAATAATAGAGGCTGGACTGCAGATTAAAACCTGAATGTATAAAAGGTCTAGGATGTTGGGTTAAGAGATAGGGCGTCATCAGCTAAAAATAAAAAGGATGAAAATATAAATTTTCTTTCGAATCTTATGTAAAACACGGGTTTTTAATTCCACAAAATAATAATAATAATAATAAATCAAAGTCTCACAATCTTTACACATAACTTTAAATATTATTTGTCATAAAAATATAAATTTTTTTATTCTAGTTGAGGAAATTAAGAGAAGGACTCTCGTTTTGAAGTTTAGTTCTTAAGCTAAAAATGATTAGGTGGTGAGGCAAGGACTATGTAGAATATATGTAGTTTTTAAAATAAAACACTCAATATCTTTTCACTATAAAAATATTTACGAATCATTTTGATGTTTTTGAGTTTTTTACTATTGTATTACAATTTAGGTATCTTAGATTAGATTGAATATTTAAAACCATAAGTTGACCCAAAAATATAACACACCGTAGTTTATTATGAAATATTATTGTATTAATTGTAAACTGTAAAGTATGTAACATAATAAGTAGTGATATTTAGCATTATCGAAAATCGGTTGAAGTCAGAAAATCAATATATCTGTACCCAAACCAAAAGCATAAATATTTTAAAAGAGATCTCGTAAATCGAATAAAAATCTTCGAACATCTAAGTTATTGACAATATAATAAAATGATAAAATGCTAATAAATAATATAAATTATAATAATAACGAGTTTGAGTGTATATATTTTACTATATAGACGATGTATATGGCGTTTGGTGTCGTGGGTAACGTGCTGACCATATGCTCCATAAACAAATTAGGAAAGAGATTTCTGGCTCTGTGCACAATGACCTGTTGTTCAGTCTGTTACCTGTCCATCGGGATTATTGGAAATGTATTACCATCGTCTCCAGTCACGTCGTGGATAAAAATCGTGCTGTTTTTCATGTCGACTTTTTTTTCGTCAATGGGAATCATGCCTATAGTGTGGATTCTCATGTGTGAAATTTTCCCAATGAAGTAAGCACAAGTTATCCACTATATGATGAAATATATAATAACTATAATTTCGACAATTTTATTATTTAAACAGCTATGTAATATTTGTTATTGAACACAATTTACAATAAAGAAAAAAACAATGACTAATGATTGATAATAATAGTGGAAACCAATATATATTTTACGGGTATGGGTTTCAGGAATGGTTTTTCAATGTTTCAATTTTGGTGACAGTATGTTAGTAAATTAAAAAAACCTAGGTTTTAACCGTTTATAACCGGTTTTGAGCTCTATTAGAAAAGCTACATTAATATTTACAATATTCATACAAAAACAACAGGTTTTAAAGTAATAGACACATGTTGTAGGATACATTAATTTTCTTGCGAAACGATCTGGAATTATATATTATATATAATTATTATCATCCTATAATTTAAATTTCATATTATCAGGCTATTATTATACAAAAATGATATGTTAGTATGTTATAATTAAAATCATTTATGGTAATTAATAATACAGTAAAGTGATTTAATTATGTACCTACAATGATTCTAATAAAAGTTCATTACTTATAAAACTTTTGATATATGTTTTAATGTTTTGATTTTAATATAAGCAGTCGATTCAAAAAACCATTGATAATGGTTATAATAATCAAAACTCACTGTATTATATTATATTTTGCACTTAACTACGAATATAATATGACTTTTATGAGGTTTCTCGTTGTCTTGTTTTGTTGCAGAAGTAAAAACATCGGAGCCGGTCTTAGTTCAGCTACATATTTCATATTGAGTTTCTTGATGACCAAATTCTATCTGGATCTCGAAATGATTACGGGTTTTTACAACACTTTTGTTCTATTCGGGATCGTAGGCTTAATCGGTCTGGTGTATTTGCACTTTCAACTTCCGGAGACCGAGAACAAGACGTTAAACGAGATTTCAGAACACTTTAAATCCAAAAATACAAAAGTCGAAGTACAAGTAGGCTTACAGTAATATTATGTGTCAACGTAACTATTGTTGTAGTTATTATTAATATTAATATTATATACTTAGCTCATAATTTTAAACGCATATATTATGTTTCATATAAAATAGATAATAATTTTTTTTTATTGGTGATATGCGTTTAATTTTAATTTCTAGTAAATATATTTTGAATGTTTTTTTACCAATTTTATCTATAGTAATAGTATTTGTCAAAAAATCTCACATTTTGTACTGAGTGTGGGATATTATGATCACTCTCTCTTGTTTGCATCATAAATAATAATTAATAAATACAAAAATATATTCTCGAATCCCAGTATTAAACGTCTTAAGAGGATGATTCATTTGATTTGTCTTATACGTATACAACATATAGCAGATCTATGCTCAGTAGTTCATATTTAGCTTCGATAACTTTAATTTTAGTATAAATTGAATTATCATGAAACTTAATGATAAGAAATTTACCCGTGTTCTTATTTAGGTTTTTTACAATACTTAATTATTTTTTTTATCAAATGTTGATTATATAAAATAGTTTAACTTACAGAAAACTTACATAGTACATACAAACACAGATAAAGTTATTATCATTAATTTTTATGAAAAATCGATTCACTCCCATATTAAAGCTAACAGATTTAAACATGAAAAAATGAACGTATATTTGCCATGTTACGGAAAGAATGATTCGAACGGCATCTTAATTAATAATTATCCCAATTTTCCCTTTCATAATTAATGATAGTTTCTCAATTAAGATTGTACAACGTTGTTGTATGAATGTAAGATGAATTCGATGAATGATAAATATTATTAATCAGTAATTATGTTTACCAATAAAGATTATACATTAAAAAAAAAAAATCTTTTGTTTTTATTTTAATACTTATGCATTGTGATTGTAACTTTATAGAATTAGTACTTCTTGATTTCTATCAAAATTACTTTACAAATTGAAAAGTTCTCTAGAAAACGGTCGGAGAGTTTTTCAGAAATAATTATTTCAACACTATATTTTATTGAATAAACATGTTGTAAAAACGAAAATTTGTATAAATCTGTAAAATACTACTTAATTTTTGAAAAAGTGCCCCGACGTATAAATTTAACGTAATACGTCAATTTTTTTGTGACTTTTAAGATATTTAGTGAGCGGCAATCTTGATACCAATTTTAAAAATGGTTTTATTCGATTTCATTTTTTCAAAAAGTTGAAAATAATATTTTTATTGGAATATTGTTTGAAAAAAAGAAGTAAATATTATAGCTTATATTGTAGCTAATTGTAAATTGACGATTAATGACGGGTTGGGTAAGTGATGACTGCAGATGAGATGAGTCAACCGGCTGATGATTAGATTTTGTATAAAGCATTTAATCATAGTATTCTTCTAAAGTGTTTAAACAAATGTCTATTAAAAAATTCTTCAAAAAAACCTAATAATAAGTTTATTAGTAATATTATTTTAATTGTTAATACCTATTATTTGTACCATTAATTGATTTGTGTCGTTATTTCTTTAGAATTTTTTTGTATTATACAGAATGCAAAGCAAATTAAAAATTTTACAAGTTTACTTAAAAATGTATCAAAATGTAAAATTTTTAAGCAAATCCATAGCTAAATTTCATTTAGAAATTGTTACATAGATATTGTTACATGCTGATAATAAAAAAAAAATTAAACATAAATTATATGAGTAGAGTATACGATACACATGGGAAACGTCTAATAAAACTAAAATATGCATGATATAATTTGAAGATAAAGTTAAAATAAAAATACTTTGATTATTAATACTTGGTTCTATTCGCTGTTATTTATACATATATTAAACTGCAGTAAATACAAGATAAAAGAATATATTTAAATATATTGAAGTCACTAACGGGTGACTGGTTGAATAAAACCTTTCATGTTATATAGTTAAATTAGCATAAACAATCAATTAAGATCTTCAAAGATGGTTAATAACAATATGTGGGTACTTCTATTTACAAATTAATGGTCATTTTTAACTATGTAAGTAATAAGTATATATATGTTTAATATGAAACGTATGTACAATAATCAAAATCGATTGTTTTATCATATTACATAGTATAAAAAGCGTTTTAAAAATAGTTTCTTAAAATTTGTATTGAAGATAACACAATAATTTCGATTATAAAAAGTGACAACTTTTTAAAAACTTTATAATTCAGTTTCATAAAAAATATTATGTATATGGAAAATTTCAGCAAAGATTTTCAATTTAATTTATGTTTATATATCAAAGGTAAAACCATCCATGGTTCAGAAACAAAAGTTTAGCATAGAAAAATTGGCAATTTTTAATTATAAAAATATATCAAATAAATTAATGTTAAATGAACCACGATTCTTATAATATTCCTACTAATCGCGATGTAGGTAGGTTTGTCTTGTTTATCTGGATATAAGCGAACATTTGTGATAACCTTTATTTGCATTATAAACCTTTATCAATGGAACTTCGAGCTATATACTGTATCAAACATTATATAGATGTTAGATAGTAATAGTTATTTAATATATATTATATTATTACGGTTATTATAGCAACTATTGCAGTAGAATTTGAATGACCAACGCGTTGACCGGCAAAATATAGAAAACATGATCCAGTAGACATATTGTACAAATTATAACTAATCGCGTACGCGTGCTGAATAAATATTTAAAATATGTGTAATTCTTATTAATAATAAAACATTTTTTATTACCTGTTTGTAGTAATGTTAATGTTAAATAATAAAATTATGTACTTTGACTTGTTGAACACTGTATAACGGCGTTACACATTAACTGCATGAGAACAAAACCCGAAAAGCTGCAATATTCACTTCTCTGGAATTCACCAGTGGATATTTTATTAGTTTCCGGCTCAGTAAGTTACTCTGTTTAAAATTGCATTTTAATTACATATAAATAGATACAGTCAATTTTGAATAGCTACAACAATTTAGAAATAAAAATTTGTTTTATGTTGTCCGAAATTCTTGTTGATATATAATATGTTTCTGGGTTGTACGTAAGTATAATGTTTATTTATTATTCTTCCTGAGTCTTTTTTGGATAGACGACTAACAATTTTTCGTTCATACAAAAATATTTACTGTGTACATAAATTGTATTGAAAACTTATAGTTTACTCGCTACAGATATTCGGCTATATAAGTAATACCTATCCTATTCGATTTTTAAAGTTTTACACATTTATTTAAAAATTTCTAGTGTTGTTATTATAATATTATGTGAAATAAGTCAATATGAAGTCGCTTTGTAAATGAGATATGTGAGCAATGAGTTTTTATTCAAAATATTTTATATATACGAGGAAAAATGTTATTATAAAACTCTTGAACAACGATAAATATTTTTTTGAGAATTCAAATTGATGGTCACAGACTGAAACTTATTTCCGTTTAATGTGTTACTTCTATAGGTATACTACACAATGAATTTAATTTTGGTACTTGAGATGATAATGAGTGGTTTAATACAGTGTGTTATAGTATAAAATAAAAATTAATACGGAAGAAACAAGTATACCTACGTACTATACTTTCGCACAAATATCGAATACTACACCATATTAGTGAACGAGGAAACAAAAATCTATTTTCCAATGAGAGGTATCTCATTAACTATGAATCTGTTTTATTAGTAAATACATCATGAGAATTTATTGTTATCTCCGAAAATTTATATTTTGTGGATGAACGAAGAGTCTCACAGAGAAAACAATATTTCATTAAAATAACAGTTCGAAGACATCGTGAAGATTTTTGTATGTTTCACAAAACGTTAAACAAATATGGTTCCGTTCAAAAACATGAGATTACTATCAAAGTTTGTATTAAAAATTTACATACACACTTCATCTAGTATCTCCTCTGGTTTACTGACTCTAATGTGTATAAATTTGACACATATATAATGTATATAAATAGAACTATTACTCGCAGCAGAATTATATTCTGTAAAAATATTATTGGTATTGAAACACATCCATTGTGCACTTAAAACACAAGTTAATATTTTATGATAAAATTGCTACAGAAAACGTATATGACGTGGGTACAAAAATATTGTGAAAATAATTGGTTTAAAACATTTTGCAATATTATTATATAGTTTATTGTACACAATGGAATTTTCAAGATATTTTGGTTAATTCTAAAGTATTTTATTTATACCACGTTATTAATCGTTTTTTTACTGTACATAGATATTGACTAATAATTTATATATTTTAAAGATATTAGTAATTATGAAAAACAGCTAATAAAATAAAATCATATTATATTATACGCAATTCCTTTTTACCAAAAATTAGCTCAACCTACCTTAATAATAATTGGAAAATAAATTACTTATGAAATATCCTTAAAAAATTACAAATATAGGTTAGCAAACCATCCTAATTCAGAAAAATTTTTCGTATGCAATCAGGGGCGTCATTTGGGAGGGGGTGAGATCAGGGTGTGCGGTTGCACCCTTTACTTTTAAAATAATATACTAATTGGCTTACGCTTTGTTGAGATAATGCTCAAAACTAAATCTTCTAAAACTAAATGCATATTTTATGGTTTTTTAGTGCATGAAAGTTCTTGCTCTAGTAATAATGTTAAAGATGTATAAATAATATTATTGTTCAGATAAGTATGTACCATATTCATTCAGTTTATAATTTTAAAATATCTTATTATTGCTTTTCAAATAAGGAAAGTATTTTCATTATTTCTTTGTTTTTATTAACAATGTGCCTTTTTATGTATATAATAATATACATTGTTATTTACTAAATAAGTTAGAATGCTTTTCATACCATAAATTTCCGCAATAAATGTTTAATTTATGTCATTTGTTGCTTTGTCAGAAAGTTTTGAATCAGATAAACTTGATATTTTTATTACTTGCGAAATAATAAATGTTAAACAAACATTACAAAAGATGCTAAAGCGTAGGATTATCTGTAGATTAAATTTATAATAAGTCAAATAAATGTATTACAATATCAAGAGTACAATAAAATATAATTAGATACTTTAAAACTGAATTCTAGGCTCATCAATCTAATTATTTTTTTGTATTTTTGAATAATTTATGCTTAAATTCATAAATTATGTTCCAATTATTTAATAAAATGTTTTCTTTTTCTATTAATTTATCAAACAGATCTTTATAACTTAAAAATTCATTTCAAAAATGTATTAATAATTTTGGGGCGTTTTAGATGCTATATTAATAATGTTAATTTGTTGCATTGAAAAACGGAAATACAAAGAAAATCCAAGTTATCATATCACAGTGTAATGGTATAAATTAAAAGTAATGTTTTTGCAAGTATAAATAATATATTATCATCAAATATTTTTTGTGTAAGCATATTATACGTATAAAGTTGTATAAAACAGTAAACCTGTATAATTGTTTTTATAATAAATGTGTTTGAAGAAACCTCGGTTTTCTACTTATTATTATCTACTGAGTAGAAACTAAACATTGTAAAAGAAACTCAAACACTTTATTCAAGTAATAAGTATATAGTTTAGTTTTTAATTAAAATGTTTTATGATACTTAGTAGTTACTTTCGCGTTAATTTGTCAAATTATAAATTAAAATAAAAATAATAAAAAATATCATAAATTTATAGATTCGATTTTTCATAATACTCATTTTTAATATAATATAAAACAGTATCTAAAATTATTCAAAAAAATAAGTTTAATTTTGCGGAATTCGATAAAGAATTATGATACATAAATATAACAAAGAATAAGAGATGTTTAGAATTATATAAAAATATTTATAATACAATTTATAGAAGTACCCAGAACTTTATTTTATTTAAAAAAAAAAAAAAAAAACAATGTTTTGTACCTATATTACGTCTGGACTTCAATGTATATTATTGCGCTTGTTCAGTGAAAAATTTGATTTGAAATTTATGTTTTGAAAAATATGTTCCTATATTTATAGTGATTTATTATTGATGTGTTATACATTTTTGGTCAACTATTGAGCACTAATATACTTTGTATGTTAACTTTTATTGTATAATTAGTCTGCGCATACTGTTTTAATTAATTGTTAATTTTATTACTTCCAGTGTCAGAGTAACAAAAATACAAATGAAACAAGGAGTGGACTTTGGTTACGGGATAAAATCCACATTAGTACAAGTAATATAAATTCATCATTACTAATTAGTTATTAAATAATTAATTCAAAAGCATCTTATTTAAAATACATTTTAAGTCGCTAGTAGTAATTTATAACAAATGTCGTCTATGTGATATATATATAATATATAATTGTATTTAGTTTTCCTATACACCAGGGGGCAGCTCAAAATTGCTAGAGGGCCAATTTTCAGAAAATTAAAATCTAGCGGGCCAGAACATAGGAAGCAAAAAAAAAAAATGCATTTTAGTTATCATTTAATTTGTTTATAATGTGAATTTTTAACTCTAAATTATATGATGTAATTTTAAAATGAAGTATAGGTTAGATAAAAAAGGCTTGCGGGCGCCAGTTGCCCACCCCTGATATATACGATATAAATTTATTTTAAAACCAATTTAGTGCTATGATTTTATTAGTGATTCTGGTATAGTGTTTATTTTGTTTTACTAAATCTTCGAAGTGATTTTATCATTGCATCACTTTATTTATTGAGGCATGGGTGCTGTTACTGTAAAATCTACTAAAACTGATTGCATTGAAAATATCTACCATTTTTTTTTTTTACATAATTACACATTATTAAGTGTACACCATGGTTTTATTTGATGAACTTATAAAAAATAATTTTATGGTATAAACTTTGAATTCATGCTCGGGTGAAACGGATCTGAAATTCGCTCATCAATAAAGTATAATAATAAAAAATATATCTACGGGATTCGAGTCTTATATGTTATACGACATAATAAAGAAACAAAACATATTTTATATCTATATTGTTATCATGATACTTATTGTTAATGTAGAAAAATATATTATTAACAGTGTTTGGTGTTAACGACAACGTATTTCTTAAACGCCCAACAAGGGATAGACATGATGATGCCGACCATAATCATCGGGGCATTAAACCGTAAAGGCGACGATACCGTGCCAGACATAACGGACGAACAGATATCATGGATCGGTGAGTTATTTTAGAAACCGCTTAGATGTGGTATCGATTAATTATTATTTATTCTATAAATAGGTTCATTGAATTAATAAGAATACTTCTTAAATAACGAGGCCAATAGTTATTAATATTGTAACCAAAATCAGTAAATAATAAATATACAATAATAATAATTATTATTATATGTTTTATAATATATTACACTTTACGCATACAATATAATGCAATCATCAATCGATTCGGTAAACGTTGACCGTTATACTGTCGTTGTGTACTAGTGTATCATGGTGACGAAGCGTTAAAATATGGTCAAAATGCATTCAGTATTATATCGACACTAAACTAGAAAAATAACAAAATATAAAAATTATAGGTTACAAAAAAATCAATAAAATATTTATATTATTTTTTGTTCATAAAATGTATAATAATATAGTAATTTTTATTTGAAAAAATTAGATATAAATAGATCTTTTATAGTTTTTTTTAATATTTATTAAAAACAAATATTTTTACTTGCTCTAAAATAAATGTATGGATTGGCTTTTAGTATTTATTAACAGTGAGTTCTTCTTTTTATAGTGATGAGGGATAGGGAGGTCAAGCAAAACAAAAACGGATTAGTAGTAAAAAAAAATCAACCTGCTCAAATTTTAGCCATCCTGGCTCCTATATAGGTGATTTACCAAGCATGCTCCTTCTCTTATTTTTATTCGTTCATAATGTATTCATTAAGGTTCTGATTGTTGGAGCTTGTAAAAATGTCATGAAATTATTTTAACATAAATAATGTTTAGTTATACACTTTTTGTATATCACTAAAAAGTTAAAAAATCTTGTCTCTTAATAGATCGGTACTATGACTCAAAACTAATGAATATATAATAAAATTATAAAGATAAGTATAAGTTGTCTATACCTAAATAATATAGATAGGTTGCACATTTAACTCGATTTTCGCTCGATAGGTCACATACTATACGAATACCTACTTATTTATAGTCTTAATGAACTTTTCCTTTAGTCTACCTGAAATCAAATAAATTTTTCACTACTGCATAAAACATAATTTAACCAAATAAGTATGTTTTTATAGCTAACCAGATGTACACAAACTGGAGTTTATTTAATGTTATAGTTATAAAAGATAAAAGGTATTAATGTATTACTATGTTTACATTTTTTTTAAATTTAATATTAAACCATTATATTAGTTCAAAAATAAATTAAGCACGTAGAATTATATACATTTTACAAAATGGTAGTTCATTTGTTATATTTGCATTATTTTATTATTAATGTTATTTTTAATTTTTTTTTTTTTTATGTTTGTGTTTTTAATTTTAACTTTTTTCTTTTCATAATAAAATTTTAGTATTTATAAAAAACTGTTAACACTAATTAATTTATCAAACAATTTAATTTAAACATAAAATGTTTTTAATTTAAGTAAATATTCGTAAATAATATTATCTATGTATAGAGATGTATTTATAATTTTTCTACTGGGTACATATTATTTTTTTCTTATTTTGTCTTCTATTACCCAATTTAAATGTATCTACTTTATTATACTTGTAACAATTGAATTTATCTATTACATAATAGATGCAACGTTATGTAAGAGTATTAACACAATATTACTTAAAGAATTATATATATGTTATAATAATCTATTAATATTGAAAATTTAAATATAATATTTATCAAGTAGTTAATATACTAGGTTAATTTATTCAAAAATCATAAAAATAAATATTTAAGTTATATATCTATTCGATTTTTCGATTAACTTTAGTTCTGATAAAGTCTTAATTTATTTCGCTATAACTCATAGTAAGCTTAATGATGTAAACTGTGTTTTTATGTTTAATATAGTCAAATTATTTAAACGACCGTCATTTATGGACGATCTAACATATTATAATTTAACCCTTTTAAGAGCATATAATATAGGTTCCACTTTTAATGTTGATGCAGGTAGGCGATAATTATAATTTAGGAATGGCTGGATGGAGCTTAGAGTGCTTAGGCCTTAAAAATATTTATACTGAATAAATTCGTTTATTTTATCACATAAAATTTTTTAAAATAATAATGGTTTTTAAACATCAGTAACATTTAACCAACAAACCAACTTTTAGTCTTAAAGAACTTTAACCGCGGTTATTATATTTAAACGGCCACTTAATCAAGTATCTCCAATCTTCTCTATACAGACCAATATTTTTGTTTTTAGTTAAATGAGTGTAGAATTATATTCTAGGTATATATTATATTAATGTATAATGTACATGCCTGTCAGGCGCGAAATTATATTGCACAATGCATAGTTATAGGTAAAAAATACTAGATCATTAATAGAAATTTTTTTAAGAGATTAATATAGGTAATTGAAATTAAACCAACATGAAATAATATTATATGATCGATAACGGTGCATGCTTTAGTCATGCTACAAAACCTACTAATTGTTGTTGTATGCTAACATAATTTGCAGCCGTTAAGTGTTAGAAAAAAAAAGGTAAAGACTAATGATAATTGGGTCTAAAGTCTCTATTGAATTATAGTATATTATAGATATGAATTTTTTTTAGACAAAACTTAAAATTACAATTTAGACGTAAGAAATAATAATTAGGTATGACAATGTAAAGTTTTCCTTAGGTTTAGATGAATTTTAGGGAAAGAGCTTAAAATTAAAAATTAATAGAAATAACTTTTGAATAGTAACTAAATTTGAATAGCTTTCTCCATCTTCATCAAAACACACACAAACCACTTTCATTATTTAAAAAATTATTTTTACCTTTTTTATAAGTGTTATTTTTTGTGTAAAAACGATTATTATAAAAAACTATAAGACTAGTATAAATAACACTAAATAATAATTAGACATGATAATAAATACTATAAAATATTTTTCAATATTCTAGAGCGATAATAGTTTTTTATTTTTACTAATCATTATATTATTTATACATGCTGGATATGATAACTTGAACTTCACCTCGAACTTATTTTAATATGGCTTTATTATATACAATTAATATACAATATAACGTAACCTAACAATGTTTTAAGTTATGTATGAACATTCAACAGTAATTAACTACTATAACCTTTTACATTAGGTACATACATCAATGATAATCATATGATCAATATTAAAAAAAAAAATGTATCTATAAATAAATATTTGATAACTATTAACATTACCTCATGTACTCGATAATATCATATTAAGTAGGATTCGGTATTTATTCATTCAATTTAGCTGAAATAATATATTATGAATAAAGAAATTTAATCGCGAATGGCAATGTTGTAAAATATAATTTAAAAAAAAATATATAGGGCAATTTACAAATTTATTTTGAAAGTTATGATTTTTAAAATTTTTAAGTATATAGTTAAGTGTTATAAGATATTTACATACTTAGATATATTATATCATTATTTAAGGTGTGTTCTTTAACGATAGATAATTTTTTTAAGCAAAAAGCCGCAGCCTACATCCTTATTAAAACTTTATTTTTTGTAAGCGAATATCTATTTAGATCCAAGATAATATAGGTTTGAAAAATACCTTGACAAAAAATTATTACAATAATCGTTCATTTTTTTTTTTTAAATAGGCATAATTTAAAAAAAAGATCATTAACAATTAACAAATAAAATAAGTTTGAAACGCCATAACTCATTTCTTAAATAGTAGATAAAGAAATACATGCAGAAAAAATATACATAAAGTGTAGGTAATTAAAAATTTCAAAAATAATAATTATGTTAATATATGCTTGGTTAATTATCTTAAATGAATATTATTTTATTTCGGAAAGCAATAGACTTAACAAGATAAAAATAAATTGAATACATTGAAAAATAAAATAAAACATGCCTTTAATTCTGTAGGAGTTTAATCTGTGGTAAAATTATAGACATCGATACACTGATTTTCGTTTAATTTTCAGCTTTTTATAATAATTGGTATTAATAAAATTCATATTTTATGATTTGGCAATCATGATGGTGTACTTAGAGTTGTGTTTCTTATCATATTATTGTTGGTCGTTCTATTTAAAAATAAGAATAAAAATCATTATTTTTTATAAATCAAATTCTTTTCAAGTGACAATTTTGCAATGGAATTACATTAAAAACGTCATATCATTTATAACCTATATTTTCTAAGCATAGTGTGTGTGTAATTTAAGTAATTCTTTTATCTAAAAGGTATTGACTTATTACTTAGTTATAAGCATGTTTAAGTTCTATCACTGTACGGAATATTATTCATTGTCATTATTATAGTTGTATAGATAATTATTATTTATTATAATTGCTTATTATGTGTTTATATAGCATAGATTCTTAATGTTCTTATAACATAAAAACTAATTTATATTTATATATATATATATCATATATCTATTTAAACTTACTTTACTTTGATATATAAAAATTTTGTATAGTAGCTCATGAATTATAAGTATTTACTGTTTATACATATAAGAAGAGTGGCAAACGGATGTGTCGTAAAATGTTGGTTTGATTCAATCGCACTTATCTAAGCTTATAATTAATTAACTACCTGTCCGAAATTTGATTATGCATCGAAATATTACCAATAATATTCTGCTATAAAATATGAAATCAAAAGTGTAATTTGTCTTTTGAAAAAGGAAAAACTTAAAATGTGATGACCATGAAAACTAAAAAAATGTATTATTTTTTTTCCAAAAATATATTGTTGTGACTACTGAAAATTATGTAAAACAATTATTTAAAAAAAAATTTAATATGGTTGAAAAAAAAAATTGTTTTACATTTAAATTAATTACCTGCAGTGAAGTATATACAACGTATTGCAGTGTACTATTACGACTGTAATGACTAATGAAATTATGTACGACAACGATACTATTGCTTATTATATTACTCGTATTATATTATATATTATCGTTTATTGCCGTAGGTAGTCTGGTATACTTATCACCACCGTTTGGGAGTCTGTTCCTGTCACTGGTCCAGACACGGCTTGGCCACAGGATATGTATGGCGCTCACCAATCTCATTCAGCTGTCGTCCGTGCTGGTCGTGATTCTTTTTCCGATCACAGTGAGCTCTTTGTACGCGTGCTCGATACTGATGGGTCTCAGCACGGGTTTCGCTACTGGCCTGAGTATATCGTACAGTGGTGAAGTGTGCGAACCTAAGCTCCGGGGCTCGTTGACGTCCGCCTTGAACGTTTTCTACTTCGTCGGATTCTTTTTTGTCTCCACCACGTACGCCATTACTGAGAGCTGGAAACGGACATTGATTATCACAATCATCGTGCCTTTAGCCAACATGCTCACACTGTTGATGGTAGGTTTCTCTCAGTTATTTCAAAATTACTAGTTTTCCATGCAGGAAAGATAATGAGGTTTTGATTATTTTTTCAAATTCTCCATTAATGAAAAAAAAAAATGAAGTTCACTTAACAATAACTCACTAACTCTTGATTATTTTGAAAATAATATTCCAGCTATGTACACGTGTTTTTATTTTAATCAACGAAATCCACCAAAGATAGCAAAGTCAGTCTTGGCGCAGAAACGCATGTTTTTAATACATTCGATATTATGCTAATGATCTGCTGTTTTCATTTTTAAGTGATAAAGCAAAACAGAGTTCAACAAATTTCGCTTTTGATATATTGATGCTTAGTACGAAATTTGAAGAACTCATATAATATTAATAGTTAATACGTATAATATATATACAAGATGATTAATTCAACAATATTGTAATACAAGAAATATGAAGAGTGTCTTACGTTGCATGAATCTTATTTTTTCGTAAATAATATGTATCCGCATTCGATTACTAAAAATTAATTACCGATAACACAAAAAGTGTATTTTATTTTCCGCAGACTCCCGACTCACCAATGTGGCTATTGTCCAAAGGGAAGATAGACAAAGCGAGGAAGGTCTTAATGAAGCTTCGGGGATATGTGAGTGAAGAGAAATGCTCCACTGAATTCCAGGAAATGGTTCAATACGTTTCTCTATCGGCTAAATCAGGTAAATACAAGATGCAAAAACATCCGTCGATCCTATATCGATCGCTTTAACGTTCACGTCACGATGATATAAAATCACTATTGTACGATTTATACAATATAAATGCTCCTATAGGATATTTTTCATTCAAAAGTAGTATACGCAAAGTATTTTACTTCTCTTATAGTTAATGATTAAGTAAGAAAAAATAAAGTTTAAAGTTTGACGGAGAATAAGTAAATTAAATCTAAGAGCTATTTATTCGATAAACGTCGTACCCTTTGGGATGTAACGCTGATGTAACACATTTTTCAATGCATCCGGTTCAATCCAAATCACCTATATACCTATGCATGTTTTTAGAATACGTTTAATATAATATACAATAATATTTATTGTGTGGTGTTAACGGTTTTTGCAGAAGAAGCAAAGAAAAAATCTTCGTCTATAGGTAGCTTTTCACATCCGGGACTTTGGAATCCACTGAAGCTCATGTTGGTCTACATATTATTTTCGAATATCATGTCTGGGGTACCGTATGTGCCGTATCTGATGAATATATTTACTTCGTTTAACACACGAGTAGAACCTGCGTGGGCAATGGTAATACAATAATAGTATTAGTATAATTATTAATTATTGTGTAAGTGATAAGCGATAACTAATAAATTATTCCATATACTCGTGTATAATGTATATATATATATATATATATATGAGTGGTTCATTCATATTTTCTTCAGATACTTTGATTTACGCCTAAAAATAAAAAATAAAAATGTAATAAATAAATACAATCAAATATAATACAATTTATCCTACATAGTCCATAAATAATATTATAAAACTGAACTAATAAACTAAATAGGTTAAAAATTATTCATCTCATATTTTTCTCAATTATCATTACAACTAAATATTAATTAAAAAGATAAAATAATATTATCATTATAGCGAGATCGTATAGCGACCGGATTAATGGTCTAAAAATAAGTGTATACGAGTGTATTTACTCCATACCTTTTCTGTATTATCTGAAGAATCTCGTAGTTTTTTTATTGATATTAAAATTTTAAAGCAAGTTGAACGCATTTTAAAATTGTTCAATTTACTTACATAATTATAGGTTTATTTTAAAATTAAAATATCAATAAAAACCTACGAATGCCCTACGAAGATAATATTTTCACCTTTAAATTTTATAATTGGCTATTATCATTATAAATTATAATATTCCAACTACGACATAAAATGGGCTCTGATGAATACAAATTTGATATATTATGCTGTATGTTTGTTGAACAGAAACTACTACAATACAATCGACTGTATGGAATCTTCTTAAAATTCTCGTGCTCGTACCTAACGTTTTAAAAAATCCCGTATTCCTGTGTAAAAAATATTTCTGAATTATAGTAACTATCAGCGTATTATTTACCATTAAAATTGATATCTAATAAAATTATTTTATTTTCAAAATAATAGTAAAAACCAGGATTGCATCGCATGTAAAGTTAAATAATATTCTTTATTGTTCAAATAGTAGAAAAAATCATATCCTTATCATTTGGGTCATATTAACGCGGCAAAGTTTTATTAATTTATCTCGTCAACAACAAATTTATTACGAAGAGCATGTCATGAACAATAATCTTGTTTTGTAAAATCATCCAGCATTGAAATTAGAGTATGAAAAACTTACAAAATCAAAATTATTAGTTTCGTGTTTGTGGTTGGCTGCAGAAGCGGTTTGAGTATAAAAGTTTTGATGCGGTGGACTCAGGTGCTTAATGGGTTCATTTGCTGATTTCTCCACTGGAAAACTAGATACAATTTATAAAAAGCCAACTTAATAATAATAAAAAGTCTCATGTTTTTCATTTATTCTTATAGCATTAGTAAAATTATCTACATATTTGTTACATTACGTTGAAGTGATTGCGATTTACGACACAACTATAAAATTACCATCTGTCCGAAAATCAAAAAACTGTTTATTTATAAGTAATTAAGTAAAAATAAAAAGAAAAATTGGATTTAAAAAAAAAATTTAAAATAAATTTAAACATTTAATAAAACAAGATACATTTTAATAGAAAATTGTCAAATACTACGTATACTATACCTATCAATATCTATATTCTATAATATCTAACAATTAGTGAATATCTATATTATATCTGTTTTTCGATGAACACACAAGTTTACATTCACTTAGTTATTAATCAAAAGTTTTATTATCAGAATTATTATTAATGATAATCATTATTTGTTTCTCCCTTTACGTATTTTTCTATTTTTTAAGGATACCATAGCAGTGCTGGTAGTTATTACTTATTAATTAAAAATTGTTAAAAAAAATATATATACTATTGAATTTAAACGAAAGAGGTACTTATTTAATAAGAGGCTCAGGTCATATAATTTTAAGAGAGCTTATCTAGATTTTCCCGGTATCCTGGCGAGTCATTACACGTTTGGGTTCACTATAGACTTAACGAGTAGATACCTACTAAGAATTAACAGATTAGAGTGATGATGAATTGTTAATTGTTAAAAATGTGCTGATCATAATGTATAATTTTATTCGTTTTCATTTTATAAGTATCAAACAATAATAATGGTTTAAAAAAATCCATTCAGTTACCAGTAATTAACAGTAACTTCTATTACAAGTTCTACATTCCACATGCATTTTAGACTAATATCCATTATACTGTTATTATTATTTGAACGTTATTGTAATTTTTCTAATCGTCTACTGATATATTTATACATATATTATTTTTGGTCTTGGGCAGTCTGCTTACCCCGCATTCAGTATCATTGGTAACGTGTTCACTATCCTGTTGGTTCACCGGCTGGGCAAAAGATTCCTTGTGCTATCAACCGTAACCGTCTGTTCGCTGTCATACCTGCTCATCGGGTTTATCGGACAGTTTTATACTGATACCGAGTACACGTCTTGGGCGAAATTGATACTATTCTTTGTGTCAACGTTATCCTCATCGCTGGGTATTATGCCGATCGGATGGATCTTCATAAGCGAAGTGTTTCCGATGAAGTACGTATAAGATAATAATATTTTTACATAACACTCGTATTAAGTATATTATTGTATATTGCACACTGTGCTACTTGATTAGGAAAAAAAATAGTTTGCGTTAACCCAGGAGCTTCATTTCAGTTTAAACGCATGGCTGCTAAATTTTTAAATTGACCAACATTTTCCACCACTAGATCATAAAATGTACTTCACTTTGCTGGAAGTCTGTTAATTTTTTTTTATAGATTTTAATAATTATCATTTTAAAATTAACTGATGAAATTAAAGTATATACTATATTGGTGATTATTTATAATTAGAGCAAGAACTTTCATGCATTCGCATATATTTTCTGGTTTAGTTTTTCGTATGCAAATTAAGAACAAAATACATTTCACAACGTTTGTGACCAAAATCTCAAAGTTTTTAGTGCATATTTTGACATTTTTAGGTTTAAAGGACATATTTTTTTGATTATAAGAGCATATTTTTAGTTTTTAGTGCGTATTTTGAAGGTTTTTCGAAAATAATGTTTTTCAGTGAATATTTTTCATGATTAAGGATACAAATTATTATATTTAACTGTTTCTATATTCCCATTAAGGCAAAAGAGATTCTTTTTATCATAGTTGCGAATCTGTAGATTAGATTACAATAAAGTGATATCAAATTCAGTTAAAACTTATAGAGAGATAATATACAATTATTTAAAGAAAAAATATAATTTTTAGAGCTATAAATGTTAGTGTATTAATTTTTTTGAGGGCATATTTAACTGCATATTTAAAAATTTTTGATGCATAAGTGCATATTTTTAAATGCATATTTGATGATTTTTTAGTGCTTGAAAGTCCTTGCTCTATTATAATAATATCATCTGACCTTGAAAAGTATTTGTGATAACTTCTAATCCTCTTCCATAAACCAAGCATAGCACATAACATATTATTTAAATAATAATAAATTGTTTTACAAGTGATAATACCTTACCTGACTACCTGGCGTCTCACGCATATTCGTCGTCATTTGTTCTAGTCGATGATTTTATTTTACAAATTATTTTTTTGTCATATGTTTTCTATAACAAACTACGTTTATGAATTTATGTAAAAATTCAATATTATCTTCCAAAAAATGTTGAATTAATTTTATGGTTCGATACCGACTGCAATGAAGGAGTTTAATATAGGCAATTTTCATAGTTTTTGTTATACGAATTATCACTATTGTGTACGTTTGCGAATTTTAATGTAGTATGACATACTATATTAATGTTTTAAACCTACAACATTGTTATCATTAGTCACTTTAGTGTAAAAAAAAATACGGTAAATTTTATAACGAAATATTTATTACCGCGTCTTATTAGTACGACGGACAAAATATAGATATCATGTATGTTTTCATTAAAAAATGGCTGACATTGAGTTTCCTCAAGTTTGATATTATAGTTATGATATATAATATTTAAATAGTAATTGTAAGCATTCAAGACGTTAGTGATCAAAATGTAGATGTTTTTTAAAAATCACAAAACACCAAATTATATATCATTACACTTTTAGTCAGATTCAAACCTTATAGTTTGGACCTTAATAATGTTTTCAACAAATGTGTGTTTTACTTTTTTTTTACAGGAGTAAAAACATAGGTTGCAGCATCTGTTCCGTGATATATTTCTTTTTCAGCTTCTTCTTGACAAAATTCTACATGGACCTCGAGAAGTTTATTGGCTTCTACAACACGTTCGTTTTGTTTGGCGCTTTGGGGATCGTCGGCCTCGTGTACTTCTACTTTTATTTACCAGAAACTGAAAACAAAACGCTAAAGGAAATCGCTGAACACTTTAAACTCGAACCAGTGTAGTTTACGGAAGTATACCTAAATCTACTTATAAACATCCGCTGCATCTAATGCATTGTAATATATATTATTTGATATTATATTCTTATTCCTATTCGACCGCATCAGCCTGTGCACTTTATAATAATATAATAATTATATAGACACATTAAAATATTTCAAACGATATTATATTTTAAATAATATTACTCTGTCGCATTGATAATATTTATCGAACTTACTTCAGACAGTTGACGAAATGTACGAGAACCGTCGAAAATATGTATACATAGGTACGCACATAATATCATGATCATAACATACTCGCAATATTATAATACCTAAATTAGTGATCGACAAAAAAAATTTGAAATTATTATTATATTTTGTTTTATAATATTATAAACTATGATATTTAATAGACTGACTTTACAACAGAAATAAATATATATACATTAATATTTGTATTTATAATAGAGTATTATTTTAATATGTATTATTCAATAGTCACCTATATCTTTATACAATACCATAGTTATACTTTAAGTGATATCTATGTATTATGTATTGCAAGAAATTTAATATATATATATATATACATTAATACTTTACAATTTTTATTTCTGTTATGTTTTTTTATTTAACTCTTATAATGATAACACACATTTTTTATTTCTAATTCCTAAACAAAAAATATTTTTGAAAATTTGGATACATGATGAAAATATCATAATTTTCTAACAAGTAGTTTGTACTGTTTCATGTTTGTAGTTACTACTTTACTAGTTAATTATATCAATTTAATTATTTGATGAATTAATTATTTTTTTCGTAGACAACCATTTCACTTCACTTCACTTTTTAAGATTTTATAGTTTAAATATTACTAAATATAATTTTTCCAAAATATTTTGTATTAATTAAGTAAATTAAAATTATACAAAAAAATATCTTTAAAAATGTTGATACATGCTTTATAAAATTACTTTGTCTCAAAGTAATAGGTCTTACAACACTGCAGACTGAACAAAAAAAAAAAAAAAACACTTGCAATATCTCAAAGTATTTAATTTTTTGTAGTCAAATTGTTCAGTCTGGTATTAATTACACTGGTTATGACAGATTGCTAGACGTTCAAACGCGGCTTTCGATTTTTGAAAAAACTACTAGATAATTTCCAAGAACCATATTTAGCTCGTTGAGATTCAGTTTACGCCAATATCGATATAAGATTAGACGCTCAAAAAATGAATTAAAATATTTAAGAAAAATTACACGCGAAATGCATGATGCAACTATACACAATGATGAAGACAAAACATTTTCGCTCATTTTCGCTCCTCCTCCTTCTCATACTAAAAAAAATTTTTTTACTTAATTTCGTACGATTATTATGCTTTCACGATTTTTTCACTGTAATTATATAGTTGAAATATTGAATTTTTAGAGTAAAAAATAATTTCCATAACTTAAATACTTGATTTTTTTCTTAATGTAAAACTTTAAAAATAACATTTTTCTTTATATTCACTTTAAATAATATAATTTAATTAGTATCAAAATAAAACATAAATATAAAAACAAATTCATAAAAAAAAAAAAAAAAAAATGTAATATTAATTTAACAAAGATAGTATTTATTAAAAAATAATAAAATTGTAGGAAATTTTTAAATAAAATTGTTCAAATAATAATAATGATAATAATAATAATAGTAATAATCATTTTTAATTTACAACCAATAGTGATTTATAGTATGATATTTTTCAAAACATTGATCAATACATAACGGTTTATTACACTGTTTACAATTAAACGAAGTCCCTTTTCTTCCTATTTTGCCACTTATATACTTTATTTTATCCACACAAACTTTACAGACTCTTATAGGGTTTGGTTTTGAAGGTGTTGATGGTATACGTGCAATAAAATATCGTCCTGTCAATTGATTCATGGCCGTATCATTAGAATCATCTTGATTATAACCAACTTTTTCTGCCATTTGTAAGTCCAAGTTAACTATAAATGTCCTTAAGGTTATTTGTTTGTGTTGATTTATTTTGTTCTTTAACATATAACTATTCACAACCGTTACCATAAATAAATAAAAAAATATTTTTTCCACCATTCCAAGCATTTTTTTTTTGAAATGGCTAATATGAAACCATTTGATCTTTGTAATCAATACCTATTTTATTTATATTGTAATCAATGGAAATTTACCAGTCTTAAAACTGAGACTTATTTCATATCTGCGGAATGAGCTGCAGATAACATAAACACGTCTCTTGTATCTCTCTATTTGATATACACTAAAGGACCTTGTTTCGCATGTCATTTCTCCTTTTTGTAAATTTTCTTTTATTACTTCTTTAGGTAGCCCTTTACGATTCGACATCACTGTATCTACTCCAGTTGTATTTTTGTCCCAAAGAGTATTAAGAAGTGCTGGGCTTGTATAAAATCTATCCATGTACACAGTATGACTTTTGTAATAATATTTTTCTAAAAGTCTATTAAATATAATAATCATAGAATAATCTTTTTGATTTTTACCAAAATAAATTTCAAAATTTAAACTATATTCCGTTAGAGAATCTGATAGAGTATATAATTTTATTCCGTATTTATGTGGTTTACTTTTCATGTAAACTCTGAATTGTTTACGACCTCATATGGACACATACATTTGTTGATAGTCAAATTCAGTCTAGGTTGATATGACTCAACTGTTTTTTATGTATAAAATCAATGTAAGGACATATTTTAAATAAGTTATCATGATTTTTTCTACCTCTTGAGATATAATTAGCATTATTATTCAAATGAAACATTGAAAAAATCGATGAGAAACGATCTCTAGCCATTAGCTTTGACGCAAAAGTGCTGTGAATAAATGTATTCTTCGGCCAAAAATCTTTAATATTATGTGGTTTTAATATTACAGACATATGGAGAATAATTGAAAAAAACTATTCATTTCAGAAATAGTTAACGGTTTCCATTTATACCAAATCGAATTTAGTTTTAGTATATTTTTTTGTCGAAGAGATCGAATAATCGAATATGCGTACCTATTAGTTTCTTTTATTTGTTTAATTTAACTATTTGGGAAAAAAATACTAAAAAACTCTATTTCAGCTGATTTACCAAGTACTTCTTCCGAGACACCTGATCTTGATGCAAATACGTGGGATCGGGGTTAAGAATTTACTTTTTCCCATTAAATTTGAACAGGTCTTATTCTTTCCAATGAATATCATTCTCTATCTCTATTTGTCAAAAGAGGTTCATTGTTATCAAGATTTTGTAGAAAGCATTCATGTTGAATTTCGTCTACGGTATCCTCAAAATCCCATTCCTCAGCTACATTTTTATAATTACTTTCAGTGTTGTCTGTTGGTATATTACTCATGTTCTGTATACTATTATCAGTAGTTGGATCAGCTAAATCATCGTCAACATTTTCAACCATCTCAACAAGATTTTCAAAAAGATTTGCATATTCATTTTCAAATGCTAACAAATTCGTGTTAACAATTTCACATGTGTCTTTGTCAGAACTATCATCCATAAATTCATCTAATACACGACTTATGTCTTCGACGTTAATTTTTTTAGACATTTTTTTGAGTAAAAATATTAAAATTTTATACGTAAATTAATTACTTGGAACTGTCTAAATGACTATAGTCTATAATATCATAAATGTAATGTGTATACACTAGATAATAATAAAAACAAAATTTATACAGCGGCTATATATTTTAGAAATAATTCAATAAAAATTAATAATATGTATAATAGGTATGTCTAAATAAATCATATAAATAAAATATTATTACCATTGTTCAGAAACAAACTCTATAAAGCCGACACACGAAATTCGAAGAAAATAAGAAATAATTTTTTACAAAACTATAATTTAATTGGAAATTAAAACTTTATTATTAACAGCATCGTAGGCTCTACGAATAAAATTCCCGCGACACTCACGCGGAGCAAATTATTTATTTACTTTTTATGTAAACAATTCTTACGATATTTTCATATTTTTAGCGACCGATTATTATATGAGAAAATTAGTGTAAGTAAGTAATTTTATATCGATTTTTAAAATTTGATAAAAGTCATCACGCACGCGACGTGTAATTCTCGTCTTTCATGAGTAAAATATCCTAAGATTCGTAACGTACTAGTAAGTAAAGACGGCAGACGCGTGACTCGTATAGTCGTCTCAAACATAACTTGTAGGTTGTAAATGAAGACGGTCCGCCTAGAATATGTTAATTTTAATATATACATATATTATGTTATATATGCACCCTACTCTTCTACACAGGTACTAATTATTATGTACTTTACTCTTTAAGTATGACGATATTACATAGTATAATAAAAAAAAAATAAAAAATAAATAGTTGACTGAAGAATGTTATACTAACACTTGTCTAATCGAAATTTATTACATTTTATCAGTTTAAATTATTATGTATATTATTGATATTATTAATATCTTGAGCCTTGAGGTAAGGTTCTCTTCGCTGTAAATTGTCCTAGATCCAAACATTTCTTTGACATCTCATCACCTTACGACGGTGCATACTACTTGCGTCCGAATTAATTATCAGTAGGTAACTTGCGTCCCGCAAAAAAAGGATCCAAAAAAAGGTCATATCTAGCCTATTTGCGTCACGGTATACCTTTTTAGGCAGTCTAGTTGCGTCCCGACATAAATAAAGCATAAGCATAGCACTCATCAAGTATTACAAAGTATTATTATATATTTATAATTTATTTATTGCATATGATTCCACTACATTTGATTAAATTACATTAACAATACATTAACATCACATTAAAAAATAATACTATACAAAAAAATTTTAGATTATGTAAAAAAACATGTTCAAATAATTATTATGCATAGTTTAAAAAATATTTTATTATAAAATCGTCAATTGTCTATTAAAACTAAAACTAAGAGTAAACTAAAAAACGTTTATAAACCCGTAGAGGCGTAGATACAATTTACACATACCTCATAATATGAACAATATTATTGTAACGCTGGACGCAACTTGGTCATAACTTAAATGGCAGGTAAGAAGAATAATATGGTTGAGTTGCGTCCGCAAAACGGGACCCAAGTTACTTACTTAATCTACTACCTGTAAAATTTACATTTTTGCGGGACGCAAGTAGTATGCAGCCCCTTACGAATTTACGACCCATACTTTATTACTAATTAATAATTATTATAACCAGTATAATCAATATAACAATTCGATGTGTTTGTCAAATCTGGCGGATAACAATAAATACTAAATTATAATTTACTATAAAACTATTTTTAGTTTTATTTACACAAGTATAAAATTATTATTATTAATCGTCGCCGACCGTAAGGCGTCAATCAGCATAGTGATTGTTGTCTCTCAATAATAATCTATTATTAGATTGCATAAGAATATTTTCATGTGATACTATAATCCAAAACAGTCATTATCATCAATTCAATAAATTGGAGTCTTAGCCATTTATAACAGAAAATATTTATATTGGTATTAAAAATATAAGCACAAATTTTTAATCTTTTGATGAAACGACATTTTTTATGAATTTTATTAAATTTTAGATGTTAAGTTCAGCACTAAAATCATAGCATAGAAAAAATGTTCATTGAACTTAAGAAACATTAGTATTATATGCATGGTTTAAAATTATTTTTTATCATTCATTTTAATACAAATTTACCATGATTTAAGCTAAACAGTAATTAAATCTTATGGTCTATTTCTGTAAAATATTTTATTTATTTTGTTTAGTTTGATCTGTTTTATTAACATAACAAATAGATCCATAAAAAAATAAAATATGTTAATGATAAGACATATGGGGTTGTAGGATACTGTTTTGTTATTAAATACTTAAGCTCTCAAAATGTTTAAAAGATTTCAGCATAGAATATCTATCTACAATATAATGTAAATTGAACTGATTTAACAAATTAAAAATTATCATTTAAAATAAAAAAAATATATAGTTAAATAAAGATAAATGAGTTAGCTAATTGATCAAAAAACAAAATACAGCTATTGTAACACTAGAATAAATAGTGTAATGTCTAATATTGATTAAAATAATTATATATTTTATTTTTTTTTATAAATATTATGTAATATTTGTAGTATTGATGTATTAGTAGTAGGAAGTATGTAAAAAGTATTAGAGGTGTTACAATTTGTGATATTGGCTTTTAATTTCAATCTTAAATATTGTATAATATGTAAAATATACAAAAATCAATAAAATAATTGACTATATTATGTATAATAATTATTAAGGTAATTATAAAATATGATTTTAACAAATTATAATTTATTCCAAAAATATTTCAAGAAAAATAAATCTCATTTTAATTAATGTGGATAACAAACTTAAATAATGTTACATTTTAATAATCAGTAGTTGTTCTTAAGTAATCAACTGTAGAAGGCATTGCACGTTTTTCATAACCATTTGGAAAGAGTGTATCAAGGTCTTCATCTTTTACTGTTGGCAAGATCATAACTTTTTCACCAGGCTAATAAGGAAAAAAGTTTATTTTATTTGGAGGTCATTTATTTTGTAAGAAAATAATTGATCATCATCAATAAAATTACTTACCACCCAATTTGCTGGTGTAGCAACAGTATTTTTTTTATCACATAATTGAAGTGAATCAATGCAACGTAAAATCTCTCTATAAAATAAAAAAAATATTTTATCTTTCAATAGGAACATAAACATTAGTTGTTTAGTTTAAATTGGTATTAAAAATTGAAAATAATTTAATTTTCCTTGAAAACTTAACAAAAATACATTTGAAAGATTACATTTTATACCATATTTAATACAACTATTTGTTAAATTCTTAGCCACTAAGTAAAACACGAAGATTTATAAAGGGTTACTGTATAAAATCAATATTTAAAACACTTAATTATCTATTTTATGAATTATTATTTTGCATTTTGATTAAAAATAAAACACTAAATATTATTTAAAAATTATATAAAATCTGAGCCAAAAATTACACATTAGAATTATTAGTATAGAACATTATAGAAACAACAGCTATCAAAATCCCCTTGATAACTAAAAAATATTCCAGCCGACCTTGAAATTTTGCCGGAGGCTCAGCACAATATTGTAACTGTATCGTCAATTAAAATCTGTATGAAAACATGATTCAGCGCCCCAAGCAAATTTAAATCTAACAAACTAGATTCCTAAATTACTAAATGATCAGTTCAAACTAATAGAATTTTGCAATATTATCAATTCCTTGAATTACCGAATTAATGAGCAAATGTCTTAAAGTTCATAACTGTGATGTTTATACAGATTTTCTACATAGCACTACAACATTGTCTGGTGAATTTTTTTTTTTACTTATTTCAAAGTACATGGACATAATACCACTTCAATGTTCTCTTCTTTAATAATGATTGATTCAACTTTTTATTAATTCATTTTTGAAATTTATCTAGTTTTTAAAAATAACTTTAAATGTTTGTCAATTTTACCAAATTTTGGCAAAAATTGAAAAAAAAATCTATGAATAATATTCTGTATTTTCAACATCCTTGCTAACAATTTCCTAAAGATTATTTTTTAAACCTTTTTATACTTCACACATAAAAAAATTAAAATACTTTTTCATTTAAAATTATTAATTATTTTAGTTATTTTATGTTTAGTAACAAAAATGTATTTTTTTTGCATAATACATACTAGGTTTGTTGTAAATGTTCTATGATTATTTTAAGTATGTAAAATAATCATTAAAAAGCTTTGTAGATAATAATTTTCATTTTAATGTATACATAAGTATCATGTATGTAAAAATTTAAAATACAAATTAACATTAATGATATTTAATTTATTTTTTTTTAAACTTGCACAGTTTTGACCAAATATGATATTATTACTGTTTATAAATTGTTCTGGAGATCATGAATTTTTTATCCTTTTTTATGCGCATAAGTATTTATATTATATATTGCATAAGTATTATAAAATTCTAATTAAAGGAGTGTATATAAAATATTATATACTTCAACATAATGAATAAAAAAAATTCTACATTAGTTATTATACTAAAACCTAAACATTTTGCAATTCTTTTGTTATTTCAATAAACATAAAAATAAAAGTTATAATAGTTGGAAAGTGTTTGGAAGTTATGAAACATATTTTAAGTAACGATATGATTACAAAATCATGCCAAGTCTCTAGCAAAATTAAACAAATCGATCAACTGTTTGACTGTCGTTTCTATTATGTTCTATGTTATTAAATATGTATTATAATGTGTTTACATTTTTAGGTGTATAAAACATATTTTTCATTAAAATTAATTTATAACATTTACAGTTAAATTAATGAAAAACTATGAAATGTTTAAAAATTATTATCGATAATATTTATTCAGTAGCAAGTAGAAACATTTAAAATTGAATGCAAACATAACTTACTGAATATTACGACCAGTGCTAGTCGGGTAAACCATCATAAGTTTAACCTTCTTGTCAGGTCCAATAATGTAAAGAGATCGAATAGTCAATGCCAACTCAATATTGTCCTTGTCTTCTTCAGCGATCATATCAAGTTTTACAGCTAAGTCCCGTGTACTGTCGCTAATAATGGGATACGGGAATTCTCCTTTGATGTCCAAACAATATGATTTGATGTCCTAGAAAATGATGATCAAATTAAGCTTGTAACACATATAGAAACACAGTTAACAGTTAAGACATTACATTTATCCAATCCACGTGGCTTTGCAATTTATCACAAGACAAACCCAAGACTTTAACATTGCGTTTTGTGAATTCATCAACCAGCACAGCCATTTTACCCAACTCAGTGGTACACACTGGTGTGAAATCAGAAGGATGAGAAAACAAAACACACCATCTATATTAAAAATAAAAATATATAGATGCTAAGACAAGCTGCAATACAAAACGGCTAACGTATTGATCAATTAGTAATTTATAATAGGCAGTAAGCTCTATAATACTAACCATACGATGTAATGATAATATCTAATATAAAAGTAAATAAATAAAATGAAAATAAATACACAATTATATGTAGGTATTGGGTAAGTACTTACGATTCACCAGTCCACTCATAGAAATTTATCGGACCTTTGGTGGTGATGGCAGAGAAATCCGGAACGACTGTACCCAAACGCATGACTGAGTTGATAATAATTATAAATTAACGAAAAGAAACTAAAATTGAATAAAAAAATTAAGGTATACTTCTAGAGTCAGTATTGAACACTGGTAGTGACTAGTGAGAAGTGAGTAGTGACTATTAACTACTTAGTATTAAGTACTAAGACGTGTGGACACTGTGGACTGTGGAGTGTGGCCTACAAGGCTACAAGCTACAAAGTACAAACGAATAAAACGTATTTGATTATACAATACAGTAATACGGCATTGCATGCGATGGAGACTTATCTTAGAATAACAATCGTGTAGCGGACGTATCGAGTGTAGATAACGAGTCCTGAGTCGATAACAGCGTTGATGATAAAAATTTAATGATAATAATAATTTCAAAAATCTATTTGGATCGTTTGAAGCGCGAATTGTCAAGGCCGTTATTATCGGGTCGGAAGTTCGCGAGTGAGTAGTGACTGTCTACAGCGTTAGTGGTGGGGCTCATGACGTGAGAGATAATAATTTGAAGGATATTGGTGTATTAATATTAATAAAACGCTCATTTTATTATTATTGTTATCGTTACAATAATTTATTATTAAAATCTCGCAGCGTCCCGTCGTTGAAATAATAATATATATCCACCTACTATTTCTTATTTATTTTTTTGTTGTAGTGGTGGCCAGCGGCAATTAAGTGATTATTTGAGGTACCTACCTAGGTACTATTTAAGCATAATATTTCCATCCTTTTTACTTATTAGAATTCTGGTGATCTGGTGGTTGGTAATCTTACTAACGATCAAGTCCTATGTACTTACCAAACAACAATGTATTTAATATAACAGGTAACTGTTTTATGACATTATGATGATGATTAGTATATTTTTTATAACCATTGACAAGACGATATGATATTTTATTAATTCTGGTAAAAACGAAGCAAAAAAGTCGCGTGCTGTATTTAAACAACAACGTTGGAACTTAGGAGTTCTAAACGTATATTTTAATTAAGATATGTAGCAATGGGTAATAGCGAATACAAGCCCTTTTTTTATTGTAAATATGGTTCGGAATATTAGCGCGCTATAAAAAACAACGTTTTCACCATTGTCAAAAATTCAAAATATAATTGCAAGTTGCAACAGAGTGGACCCCGAAAAAGATTATGTAATATTGTGAATTCATAATATTTTTATTTATTATTTTTTATTTTTAAAAGTATCGTCGTTACATTACCATATCTATCTCTAGTCCCTTTGCCATATAACCTGATAATAACTACAAACTTAAATTTAATGTAATAAAAATTCGGGAATTTTGAGTTTTTTCGAATTTACAAGATATTAAAAATTAAAACAAGCTTTAAAAACTAATTTTTAATTTTTAAATGTATGAGTTGAATATTTGAATCATACTAAAAGACATAATTGAGTCATACACTTTAAAATTAAAATATTAATTATTATTCAATATTTATTGATTTGATAAAAAAAATCTAATAAGGTGCTTCAATACAATATGTATTTAATAAATAATATATTAGTTTGTCATTATATTTAAAAGTATAATACGCTTTTATTTTGGGTCTCCTGTAAATGTCGAAAAAGTCTCTTATTAAGTGCCGTTAATATATTATATATCTACACAAAATACCTACGATATAATATTATTCTAATGACTCGATGTGATCTTGCGTATATATTATAATATTATATATTTAGGTACACGTTTTCAGTTATGTCTCCACGCTAGAATCTCTTTCTCTTTCTATATACATTTAAATTACACCTAATAATTTATTATAATATATACAGCTCTGCGTAGTTATTTACATTACAAATTCGACTTGAATTTTAATGTTGCGATTTGAATTTTCAAAGGCCCGCAGGTCCTTGCAGTTATATTACCTTGCACTCAAAGGGAATCGAATATACAATTGTCTGTTTTGTTGTTTTTTCTCTCACAGCGGCAGTGACGATAGTCATCAAGGTTTGTATATATAGTAAAACATTGGTCTGATCTAAAAATTAGTTACACCACTCGCACTTTGCTTCACTATAAATATACGTAATATAATTTATAATCATTCGAACGACATCCCGGGCTTGTATTATTATTAATTATTGTACTCTGTAAGCCCACGATTTCGTTGTGTTGTAGCGCAACATTGATAGTTTATACAGAGTGATTCTTTCATAGCTAAACACTTATCATCTTGAAAAGTATTAAAGTTTTTGAAAATATTTTTGACAGAAGTAGAAACCATGACTTACAATTAATATTTTTTTTAAAGATAATGTTTTTAAAATTTTCATATTGTTATAATTTTTAAGTTTTCACTAGTAGTATTATTTTAACGTTTATGTGAGCGGATGCAGTAGTAGACCAACATTTTTCCGCATTAGGTACATCTGTGTCACTATGAAAGCTGTTCTTCAAAAAAATTAAAACTTAAAAGTTAAAACATTATAAAAAAATTGATATTCTTAATAATTATATTTTTTTTAAATGTTTTGTTGTCTTTAAGTAAAATAAAATAAAAATACTTTCAAAAATATTAATAGGTATTTCAGAAGTATTGAATGATAATAAAATTGTTATAATAATCATCCTGTACAGTGATATATAATAATGATAATATTATTCTTAAATAATGTCAAGCGGTGTAGGAATAAAAAAATATATAATATTTTTAAAATTCACTGCATTAGTTACCTGCAATTCTCAAAGAGCTTTGAATATTAATCTTGTACCACAGAGAGGTTTTTACACGAGTAAAATAAGGGCTTTCTGTCGATATAGACATATCTTTTATTAAAATCACGTGTATCAAATACCTTTATAAAATATACTACGGCGATTTAAGACCTGTTTTTCAGTTAGTCTAATGAATAATTGTTATTGATTTAACGATGAAAAATTTAAATCGCCACGTTTTCCCACCGAACATTTTGGAAATTATTACTGATTAATTAATAACACGCTATCATTGCTGTTATCTGATGTTATTGTTGATGGTTTTAACACTTTTTAAATGTCAAAAATAATTGAATAAATATCTAATTGTTGGTAAAAAGGAGACGAAGTGAAGTATGATATTTTTAAAACCACTGACCCAGTACATATTATATTTAATTATTTACCCATATTATATTATACGTATACTGTATAACGTACTGATAAAATAAAAAATAGAAGGACACTCGTTTATTCGAGTAAATTCTTGTGTTCTTGAGAAAAAATTTCTTTGTTATAGAACTTCAAGTATTCTTAAGTAGTTAGGCATGTATACTTTATAAGTTTTAATATATACTAAAGTTATGCAAAAAAAAATTAAAAAATATTTTTACTATTTTTTCATCATTGACAGCATATTTTTCCAAATACTTTTTTACTCAAATATTTAACACAGCAAATCTGAATACTGAACCAATAGTCTATTATTAATAACTTATAAGCATTTAAACTTAGTATAAGTGTAGTGAATTGACAGGGGGTTAACACGATTTTTTGAATAACTATATAAGTATATCAACTTCACTCAACCAAACTGTATATACATATAAACTACTGTCTCTACCGGTTTAATATTTGACATGTTATATACCACATAGATACACAAACTGTTAAAACAAATATTTTCTTCAGATCGACCTAGTGTGATAATATATTATTGCGTTAAAAAAGTAAACAAAACCTAAAAAATAAAATTAATCAATATGAAAATTTCTTAGTTCAAAACTCAAAATCAACAGAGACCAATCAAAGGGTGTCATTGGGGTATGAGTATGTAATACATAATTCTAATATGCAACAATATTATACTTTAAGTCGTCACTTGGTGAATTTATATGAAATTTAAAAATTTAGCATAACTAAATCTAGTTAGATATTTTAAAAATAACGACTCCCTCTTCTATTTTATTAATTCGCAGTTAATAAATTACTTATTGTAAGTACTTAAATATTATATAAACTGTAATTAAGGTAATTAAAAATAGACTTTATACGTAGAAAATCTAACAAGATAATACATAACCACCGTTTAATATGCGTTTCTTGTAGGCGTTTTTTCGCAACAATAATAATATAATAGAGTCTGGGATAGTGGAACACTAAGATATGCATCCATTACACCTGCAGGCATTGAATATATAATTATATTGTAGGCATTTCATCATATTTCATAATATGATATTTATTTCATGGTTTTATTTATTATTTTATATGGTTTTACTATAGATACTAATTGAATTTAAACACCTATTTAAACATCTATATTATTTTAGATTCCAATTTTCAAGACAAATTAAAAATAAATAAATATTATTATGGCTCTATTAAATATCTTATCGGTATGCACCGACAATATAATTTTTTTAATATTTATATTAATTTAAAACAACTAGGTACTGTAAAATGATTAAATACCTTAAGTTTAATTATAATATATGTGTTTCTGTAGATACACTAAACATAATTTGTGGAATTATAAGATTTGATACAATGCAATTTCGTGTCTTGAAAACTATGGATATTTTAATTTGTAAGCATTTGAACTTCCGCATATAAAACATAAATATATACATATGCTTTTAAGCGATGATTCACTGCCACTTTATTTTTTAACGACAACGTATTCGCTCAATTGCATTCAGTTTACTCAAATTAATAATTTCATAATATTCATGTAGGATAATAAATGTCCTTATACTCAGCACTTTTAGGTTCAAATTGTATTGATAAAACTATTTAATAGGTATACGTACTTAACCTAACTAAATCTAATAGTGTAGAGTAAAAACAGCAATATCTGTTTATTACAACGTATTGCAGTTTGTGCCCAAAACACAAACTACAGATATACCTTGTTGGTAAATTATCACCCACTAGGTTAATTGTTTTGGTTTGCATGGAAACGAACCTTTATATACACGTTACTCCTACTAGACCATCATTTTCTTTTACCCTTGAGCGATTTAGCCTTACAATCATTTTTTCAATATTTTATCACTATGGACATCGGCCACTTATTTACAAACTTCTTAACTTTTGTGTCGATGTAAAAATCGATCAATTTTTGTAAAAATTCGATGAAAATCCTGAAAAGTAAAACTATTATATGTAATATATTATATTAAACTGTAGGTAATTCATCTAATCAAATATTTCAAATGAGTACTTCAGTACTCAAAAATATGAAATATAATTAAAAATTTCTTAGAGGTTATTTCATTTAATACATGGTTAAACTCGATTATAATTTTATAAATTTTATATTATAGGTGGATCCAGCCCGAAAT